TTGTTTGTTTTTAACATTAAGGTTCACCTTTTATAAGGCTCGGATGCCACTCAAGGTTGAGGGTTACATTAGGAGACTAATTGTGTGTGTAGGAGTGAAAGATAATGGTTAACCCTAGCCTTGAACAGGTGAAGATTGTAGTGATCAGAGAAACATCCTGTTGGGAGTTGGTTCCACAGGGAAATGGTTCACAGGAAGAAGCTGCTTGAGTAGAACTAATTTTAGTGGAATTACTTTTGTTTAGCGGAATATCAACCTCTATAGGTTATTTAATGCCAAAATTTAGATATTTTGTATGCAATTTCATTTTATGTTTTGGATATAATAATGGTTTAGTGACAAAAGTTTTACTAATTAACCCATAGAAGGGAGGAGAAGAGATGGATTTATATCTTTCCCAAGTGTATCTGAGTGTAAATATAGCAAACACAACTGGAAGTGAAAATCAGTTCTCTGATTAACAATTTCAAGCCATTATTCATTACACCACCCACAAATCCAAGCTCGGTATTGCCAAGTGGTCACCCATCTAGCTACTGACCAGGCTTGATGTTACTTAACTTTGGTGATTGTATGAGAACTGGTATATGTTCAAAATCCAACAGGTCAATCTTCTAACAAGATAATAATTTGAAACAAATTGCATGATTCTTGAAAATCAACACTGACAATAAATATGATTGAAGTGCTGAAGTTGTCATCCCAATCAGCATTAAGGATCTAGTTCAAAATACCCTGAAGGCTACAAGTATTGACAAGACACCTGAAGAAGAGAAAGCTGGAGGGTATGAAGATGAGGACAAAGGTTAGACTTTAAATAATGTTAACTCCCAATACCAGAAATACAGGCAGAAAGTCATAATGATGTGTTACAATTATTTGTCCAGTCAGCATTTAGGATTTATGTAGCATTATCATAGATTACTAATGAAAACACAAAACTAAGTCTCTCATGCATAACATTACTATTTATTCAACTGTAAACTTTTCTAATCACCATTGGTCATTTAGTGTGTGCTTTGGCTTTTGGGATGTTATACAAATCAAAGAACACTATAGATACCAGTGAGCAAATCAAAGAAACTCTCCTGTTTTAAATCAAATCAAGAATCTGTGGTCAATCTGCAAGTAATGACTTTGTGGAATGGACATACGAAGTACTAACATGTGTACTAGGTCATGTTTAATTGGAAAAATATGAAAAAAATAAAGTAAATAATGGAATTATTAATTGTTTCAATTAATTTGCATTTGCATATATATATATATATATATATATATATATATATATATATATATATATATAAAATTTCTCAGAGTTAACCTGTAGAAAAAGACAATATTTATAAATGTAAAAGGCAATATGAAAACTAATATTAGCTGACATGTTTCGTCCAATGTGGACTTTTTCAAGGCAAAAACGAAATGAATTTATTAAAACAAAGTAACTATTAATAACAAAACAAAACGTCCTTAGCCACTTGAAAAATTTAGAAGGAAAATCCTCAAGAGTGCCACCATTGGATATTATCCAAATATTAATCAACGCCCAGGCTTTTTCCCTATTTCACCTTTCTTAACAGAATTACTACTCTCCCAAACAAACATACACAACTGTATCAAGAAATCAAAAGAAAATGGTTGAATCCGTAAACACAATAAAAACAATATTTCCACACGTGACAGTACTTGATGTAATTTTCAGTTGACAAGATGAATATAATAGCATTTTCTAAATTCTTACAGTTCCTAAGGACATTTTGTTTTGTTATTAATAGTTACTTTGTTTTAATAAATTTATTTCGTTTTTGCCTTGAAAAAGTCAACATTAAATGAAACATGTCAGCTAATATTACAGTTTTCCTATTGTCTTGTACATTGATAAGTATTGACTTTTCTAAAGGTTAACTCTGAGAAATTTTTCATATATATATATATATATATATATATATATATATATATATATAAAAATAAAAGAGAGGAGATGCAAACAATTTTAAATTTAATTTTTTTTTTTACAAATATGTTTTGTGTGTATAGTCTAGCCAATATACAAAGCATATATTTTAAAGAAAAAATTTACATTTAAATATCTCAGTATTGCCCTTTGTGCTCATATGCAATCACATCAAGCTCACTTTAGTCCAGTGAAGTCCTAAATGATGGAATGCATCATACAAAAACTTTTAATACCTTGTCAGTTTTTTCCCTAAAATTGTTCTTGATATATAAACATACAGTGAAGTCAACATCCAGCAGTGACAGTCTGTTTTATGCTAAGTAGTTTTTCTCCCCATTGAGCTGTTAGAGCTTGATCAGAAGAGAGATCAGCTGCCAGACTCTAATCATCTGCTATGAATAGAAAAGTGTATATCCCACAAAGCAGCAGTTCTTGGTAAGAAGTTGTCCAAATGGAACTTTCTTCTTACAAATGGAATATGAAATGAATGAAGATGATTAGACCATGTGTATGTAGCATGACAGGTTTTAGCTGTGAAGGTCTGAACTGGTGGAACTAAGGAATGTAGTTTGGCAGAACATTTTCCATATAAATAACAATAGAATAGCAAGAGGTGTACAACATTTTGTTTAGGGGAAAGGGATTGTAGGATGGAACATTATTCATCACCCACAAGGCCACATAAATGCTTTTGAATTCTCTTATGATTGGCAAGTGAAGTAATGAATGAAGATGTTTTATGGACATAAGAATTATAGATAATATAGATATGTAGGATAGATAATGGTTGAGCCTTGACTTGAAGAGGTTAAATTTGTAGAGATCAGGAAAGCATCCTCATGGGAGTCTGTTCCACAAAGCAGCAGCTCTTGAGATGAAGCTGTCTGAATAGAACTTCTTTCTTATGAATAAAATACAAAGGGAATGGGGATAGTTTGACCCTGTCTACATGACATGGTAAATCTTAGCTGTGAAGGTCTGAACTGGTGGAACTAAAGCATGTAGCTCATCAGAACATTTTTTCAAAGAAACAGTTATAGACTTGCGATGTTGCATCTGGTTAGTTGCTTGCAAAGATAAATTGGTGAGCTGAGTTAAACTCTGGTATTCAATTTTGCACAAATGTTATTGGGAATGGTAAGAATCCATGCCTTCTCATCCAGATATAATTTAAATATCAGTGCAGACTGGGATCTGCAGCTGCAGTTGGTATCCAGTCTAAGAGATTGATAACTCTAAATTCAAATGTCAGCCACCTGAATTTGTACAAAGGTGGGTGCAGATACTATGCAAAAGAAAAGTGTACAGATTCCAACAACAGGAGGTGGATGGATTGAATCAATACTGGGTTTTTTAGTTTAATTTTTATAATTGATAGCTGATTTGGTGTTGGATATTGGTTAATCTCTCTTTGATCATTATATCCAAAGATATTAAATTTAATTTTGTCCCCCCCCCTATCACTTTAGACTGTTTTCCAAAGCTACACTCCTTATGTTTTTGAGTCAATTCTTATCTTTTCTTTCAAGAAACTTGTTGCATTTTGCAAGCCATATATCTCATGAAGCCAAATTGCTTTTGGTGATTGCTTTTGGTGATTGCTTTTAAAAATAGTGGTCTTCTCTCTTTTTAAACTATATTTTTGGCTTTAATTATTTCTTATATTGATTCCAATCATTTTTACATTGTTCAGTAAATGCCAGTGGATGACTTCCTTTTGATCAAAAAACATGTTTGATTGTCTGCCCTTGGCACAGACATATAAAAATACAATCTTTCATTTATCATTGGTTATTTACCAAGTCTGGAATCTATGGCCCGTCAATTGTACAGTACCAATTCATCTGTATGCCATTTTTTTTTCTTGGTTGCTATCTTTATGACATTGCCTGAATTTGTTTCTAATTTCTTTGTACGGAATCCAATATTCTGTGCCATACTTTGGCATTGATTAACGTCTCCTTTTCATCATGTTGAGAATTTCATCTGTCAACCATTCTTTTTTTTCTTTGTCTATTTTTCCTTTGGGATGATCTAGTTTGATGATGTTACAAAAGTTTCTTCCTAATGTGTCTCACTTAGAGTTTCTCTTCTCATTTTGTCCATTGTATTTGCTTTTAACACTGTCTATATATTTCTCCTTCATATTTGGGTTATTCAAGAGTCTGTTGTATTGCAATTTCAGTGCTGTTTTGGCGCTCTTCAAATTTAATAGTTTCATATCACCAGAAGACAGTTGCTCTCAAAGTCAGCACTTGGATATGTCTTGCAGTATAAAATGGCATTCCTCAATCTCCAACAGTTTTATAGTTGATTTGTTTTTTTTTTGTTCTATATCTAGTCTTTCCCATGTCTATATACATCTATACGTGTTCTCAAAACCAAGTTTTGACTACTACCTGATCATTTGCAATACAACAATGAACTCATTTTTCTCCATATTCATTACGATTTCTTAGTCCAAATTTGCCAACTATTCCACCATTTCTTTCATTGCCTACTTTGGCATTCAGTTCTACTATAAAGATTTTGATTTCTTGTAATTTGCACTGAGCCTTGGTTTTGTCTAGCATACAATAAAACTTAAAATTTCTTCTTCTGCACTTTGTGCTGTCAGTGCATATGCAACGATGTACTTTATGCATGTGCACACAGATATACACATTACACAATTACATGCATAAAAGAAGAGTTATGTACAAAAATATTTGTAAATGTTAGTTTCATGTGAATGTAAACAAAATGCACATATTTTCTTTGAAAAATATGTTTCCTGAAAACATCTGTGGTGTGGCGTCAAGACCATTATTCATCAGCCCACTTCCTTGGGAATGTTCCCTTGGCTATTTACGGAAAAATAGATTCCTTACTTCTTGGACACAAGTATTTATAGAACTGCATTCTAATAATAAGAGACATTTCAGAGATGTTGACCGGGAGGAAAATAGCTTAGTACTTGCCAAGATTTTTCATTTCAATGGTTAATAAATAATGGATTCTAACCTGAAAGCCTAACATCAGTTATTTAAAACTTACTGCGTCAAAACAGAAGAGAGAGTGAGAAAGTAAAACAGAAAAGAAGAAACAGAAAAAAAAGAGGATATAAAAAGAGAGAAGAAAGAGGAAGAGTGAGAGGGTGACAGAGGGAGAGACAAAGAGAGAGAGAGATAGTAACAGAAAGAAAGAGGGTGACAGAGGGATAGTAACAGAAAGAGAGAGAGAGATAGTAACAGAGGGAGAGACAAAGAGAGAGAGAAACAGAGAAAGAGGAAGAGTGAGATACAAAGATAACAGAAAGGGGGAGAGAGATAATAACAAAAAGGGAGAGAGAGATAATAACAGAAAGGGAGAGAGAGATAATAACAGAAAGGGAGAGAGAGATAATAACAGAAAGGGAGAGAGAAAGATAATAACAGAGAGAGAGATAATAACAGAAAGGGAGAGAGAGAAAGAGAGAGAATGACAGAGGTAAAGATAGAGGAGGGAAGGGCAACAAAGAGAAGAAAGAAAGGATAAAAGAATTTACACAGAATTTTAGAAACTTTAATTTGAACTAAAGAACTCTTATTTTTTAAATAACATTCCCTCACATATGATGGTACTGAAAAGTTCATAGTCTAACCAACATACCCATCCTTTAAATTTCTCATATTTGATCAGTCTTATATTGGTTTTCTAGCACCCACTTCTATGCTTACAAGATATATGATATATGTGTGTGTGTGGAGAGAGATGAAAATGCTTACATATAGAAGAATTTCTAAATTAATGGACTTTTATATTTAATATGATATATTTTGTTACATCAAACATTATTTTTAGTGGATACCAGTATTTGATGCACAGGCCAGTAGACTCTCTCTCTCTCTCTATATATATATATATATATATATATATATATTAAAAAAATATAAGAAATAAAACCAGACTTACTCAAGTTTTACTTTCAGATCTTCAGACCATTTTCCATTTTTGTCTTTACTTAGCTTGTGGTATTGGCCTTGAATATAGAGAACCCATCTTTTTTTCTTTTTTTTTTCTTTTAACCAGAAGTGAATCTCATCTGGGTTCCATGTTAGATATTAGTTACTTTTTAGTATAAGCATTTCGTCATAATTTCACTTCTCTTATCTAATAGTGAATATGGATGTGCAAGCATCAATATCACCAACTTCTCTTCCCAGCATAATTTACAAAATTTAATATTCCCCATGTAACTCTTACACTTTTGCACTATACACCATTTCATATTTGTTGGAGAATTCTTTTCATCTTTAATTTTCCAAACATATTCTGACAGAGCAGTGTTATTGGAATATTTTCTTAACCTGAATGAGGTTACATGGTTACTATACCTCCTTTTGAACATGCCTTCACTCATACATAAGAGTAAGAACTATAGATTCAAGCAATTTTTTTTCTTCAAATGTTTATCATAAAACCAATTCTCATTTTGTCATTAACAGATTGATAGCTAAGAGAAAAAATATTCTTCTTAGCTATAATTTGAGCTGGAGTTTCCTCCAAGTTGATCCGAGATGTCACTGACCAGCTCAAAATAGTATTTATTTATTGATTCCTTTTCTACGAATTATCAACGGGTTATTTAAAGCCAGAAAATATTTTTTTAGATTGTAAGAATTTTTTTTCTTGGTCATAGTAATGCTTTAGTAATACAAGTCTTAATTAACCCATTGCTGGCAGGAGAAGACGTGGATTAATTCTTCAGTGAATTTAACGAACCTAACAGGAATTGGAACTTGGATCTCCAATTAACAATTCTGATCCGTTATTCATTATACCAACCACACATCCAAGCTTACAGTACCTAGCATTTCTATGCAGGTACTAACCAGTCTCGGTGTTACTTAACTTTAGTGATCCTATGGGATGTGGCCGTAAGCTAGCTCCAAATAGATCACACCTCATAACCAATGTTTTAACGACCTAACCACAATGCTATACATCTTCTAAATTGTCTATAGCATTCCATCCTCAAGAGTTAAATATTATTTTATCAGCAGCAATGACTCAAGAATAATTAAGAAACGGAAGTTAATATAAAGACCAACATGGTTCTTGTGCTGAAACTAATTTGGGACTAATTAAACTAATTAACAAAAACCACAATTGAGTTATGAGGCAGTAATGATGGCAAACAGTCAACTGGCAACATAGTTGCATTTTTTTTTAAATTTTTTATAACTCAGTACAAAAAAATCACTAGTATTTTTCTGAGGTTAAAAAACAAAAAAAAAATCCGTGTCCCTGACATTCTAACCAATTCAAAAAAATTAATTCTGCTTGTCTCATTTGTGAGCTAACATTCCTCACTTCTGCCTCATCTTCAGCCTCCCATGTTAGTCTACTGGAGCTATACTGCAGATTTTCAGGCATCTTGTCTCCAGTCACTTTCTCCTCAACATAACATGGCTTCCCATCTTTTCTACAAATATTTTTATTATATAGGAATAAAGTGTCGCTGCCAACACTGGAGTTTGAACACAGATCACCAGAGAGCAAACACATGCAATCCCATTTTGAATAAGTAGATCACGTGATATTAAAGAAAATGTATATATGGTAATTAGTGTGGCATCTAAGTGATCACTATGCATAGTTTTTCTTATTATTCAGATCACTATTCGGTGGTTACATTTCGAGTAAGTATTATCGAGCAAGTACTATTAGTGTGAGTGTTATTCGAAGGCATCTGACACCAGTATTGTTCAATGGCATTACTATAGTTGATTCTGCGATTACAAAGTCTTTACTATAATGAGTATTATGAAAGTGACAATGAGTATTCGTTTACATTACAAAAGTGGCAACAAGTGTTTGTTAACATCACAAAAATTTTCATGACAATTTCTCAGATGAGCTTTTTTCCTTGATGTCCCAACATGAATTTATTTGAGCTACTAGATTGGCAATTAGGTCTCATTGTTTGACTGTTGAACTAGATAGATGCAACCACCACTTCTACTGTGAGTGTTTTTAGTCACACTTCTCACCTGTGAAACTCCCTTCAGACTTCTTGCTTCCCCGATAAATACAATCTTCAAAAATTTAAATGTGACATCAGTCACTATCTTCTGTGTTCTTGAACCCTGTTCCCAAGGGTATTTACACATCAGTGAATATAATGAACCTAACAAGAATTGGAACTTGTCTCTCCAATTAACAATTCTGATCCGTTATCCATTACACCAACCACTCCTTTCCCCAATTCTCCCCATTTTTAATTTTTTCTTTCTCTTTCTGTAACTCTCTTGAGTCTTAGTGGCATTATCACTTTGCTTGGGGTGAAACAATTAAAAAAAATAAAATTTCTTCTGCAGTTTGCCAAGCTAGTTGTTACACTTTTGCCTCTAAGATCTATCCAGATGCATCCTGCCTTTTTTGGATATTCTAAGAACTGGTTGTGTTATCTTGACATAACTTGGCAACCAATCAGAGACTACTGCACATGCATTGGTAAACACTCACCCTCTAGGGTCACTGATTCAACAGTGAAATATTAAATAAGAATTTCACAGTAAGATGGAAGAAATTCAAAGAAATACTGTGAAAAATTGACAATACTTTTTTCTAATAATAAATTCTAAATGAGAGAAATACTAACTAAAAATATTCATAATACTTCATATAATAAATATACAATAACAAAGAAAATACTAATCTATTCTGGACATGACCGATTAAGGCTCTCCATCACTTCTTGTCCTTTACTTAATATGTGCCCTAGAAATTGCAATTATCTCTTGTTGGAATTTTTGGGTACCTTGGTGTACTAGTGAGCCAACCAAAATGAGCTGACTCATTTTATAGTTAACCAATAGAAGGGTTAACCAATCAGATGGCTCAAAATATTCAATGCGACGTGTATAAAGGCAGCCATGTTTTTCCCGAATATTCACTGGCAGCCTTTGATATCAAAGACTGAAGAATTACAGAACAGCTGCTGGTGGTATTGGCAATATAGTCAGATTCAGTAGAGTGTCTGACTCGTGAGTGTTAATCTTTAACGTTGTTTCCTTGAACAGATTACGTACTGCGCTGTATTCTATATTCATAGACTATGGTGAACATGGTTAACATCTCTTTATTTGAGGATACATATAAATATTCTTTTTGTTTCTATTTTCTCTAAAACTTTGTCATTGCTCATGTATTCAGTCCATGGTATTCTCAGCATCCTTCTGTAGAGTCACATTTCTGTTACCTCAAGTCTCTTCTCCATCCATGATGCCATGGTCAAACATTTACTGCCATATATACATTATAGAATTATCTATTACACAACATGTATCCGGATCCTTTTTACTTAAACATTTTTCTTGCTGTACAAATCTTATCGTCCTTCTACTAGTGATGGCCTAGTGACAATGTTTTTGTTATGACAATAGTAAAAAGTTTGATGATTTTGAAGCTGGGAAGAAAAGCACCAAATCCATAAAAGAGTTCAACAATAAAAATTTTCTTTTTTTTTTTTTTTAAATTAACAGATATCCTATATGAAGCCACTCAATGGAGACTTGATGATGACCAGAGGTACTTGGTCGAAATGCTGTGCCTATAATAACATCTATATCAACCAGGATGAGAAAAATTGTTTGAAATAAAAGATTAAAGTAATACAATAAAATATCTAAAAAATTATACGCGCATAAAAATTTATTTGTATCTCATTATAAAGACGGATCATCTTTGCTTAACCAGTGATCGTACAAGCAATGTCAAGCATGGTCAGTACCTAGATGGCTGAATGCTTAGGAATACCAGGTGCTATATGCCTGGATGTGCAGGTGGTGTAATGGATAATGGCTTGGAATTGTTGAGCAGAGTTCCAATTCCAGGTGAAATCATTATATTCACTTATGTGCAAATACCCTTGGGAATGTTATGATTTCATCTCTTCTCCTCCACCTATGGGTTAATTAATAAGACTTGTATTACTAAATGCTTCTTATCTAAATTTATAATCTAAAAATATTAGCTTTAAATAAGTGTTGATAAACCATAACAAACAAATCAATTAGACCATCTTTACATGTACATAGGAAGGGAAATGAAGAAATAAAGCCTGTCTTATAAATTTAAAGTTAATGCAGGAGATCGACTCGATTACAGGAAGCATGTAGTATGCCTGATACAATTATAAGGAAAGATCATCTTTGGGAAATTACACAGAAAAAAAGAAAAGAAGAAAAGCAGTTGATGACATTACTAAATTCTGAAATTTGAAAGAAATAAATGCTAATCAAACTTGAGATGCATTCTTATTCCATATGTAATCCTGCTCGTCAGATTGACAAGGAATCTTGAAAGCATTCCTCTTGAATAAAAATCAATAAACATTTTCTTTTTATAATGATATATGGACAGAAAGGAAATTGTTACAAGCACATTAGAAATGTCTTTTTCTGCATAGCTGGAATGTTTCAAGATAAGCCTGGAGACAACCTTCTTAACATTACATCTAACTTACGTCTAATGAACACTGGCCGAATCGGGGATAATAGAACCCTATAAATTTATGTAGAATACCCCAGAGAGAGATTGACTGATTTTTGCAGATTATTTAAAACCAGAAAATATTTTTAGAGTGTAAGAATTTTTCTTTTGAGCTAATAATGATTTACTGCTACAAGTCCTACTAATTAACCCATACCTGGGGGGGAGAAGAGGTAAATTCATACCTTTCTCTTCATAAGTGAATATAATGAACCCAACTGAAATTGGAAATCAGCTCTCAAATTTTCAATTCTGAGCAGTTATCCATTACACCACCCACACATCCAAACTTAAAGCACCTGATATTCTGAAGTGGTCACCTGATCAAGGTACTGGCTAGGTTTGATGTTGCTTAACTTCCATGATTGCATGAGAACCAATGTTTCAACATGATATGGCCATGAGCCACTACAAAATGACAGAGAGAGAGCTTCCTTCCTAACCTTTTGTTTGAAATAATGTCATTACTTTTTCAGGTTACATATGCACTTGGGAAAGGCATGAATCCCGTTCTCCCTGCACTGACCTATCACAAGTTATCTTGCCCATCAAATTAACCCATTAATACCCAGCATAAAATTTGGTATTTATTATTAAAATCAAAATTAAAATCCAGTATTAAATTTAGCTTTATAAAAAAATCAAGTACTAATTATAAATACCATATATACTCGCATATTGTGACCTTTGAAGACCTAATTTTGAAGCTAATTTGACTACAGTAAATGAATATATAGTTTAGTCAATGGTTTAGCCAGGGCCAGCAGTACATATGATAATTTTATATTTCATGTATAATGTGACCCTCTTAAAATTAGCTTCAAAATTAGGTCTTTGAAAGTCACATGATATGCTAGTATATACGGTAATTGATTTTAAATAATGCCCACTGTCACCGAAATGGGACAGTGAGTATTGATGGGTTAAGCAAACTAAGTATCTGCTCAGGTGTCCTCCTATCCTGAAGAAATATCTTGTTGTAACCAGATCATAACTGTAATGAATTCTAATAGTCATTCTGGGTAAGATGCTAAACTACATCCACATCCTGGATAAGATGCTAAACCATGTCCAACAGTAAGGCCTCTGATCAGGAGGTTTTGAGGAGCATGGAACCACCTCTTGATTGCTGATGTTCCCTGTTCCACCCTGACCCAGGTGGGTAGCACCTGTTATGGTCCCAGCTATGGGCAAATAGTTAACCCCCAAACTGGGGTCAAAGCACTATGAAAGTATAAAAATAGGATTTAATACCATCAATACATTTTTGTAAATATTAGGTTGGTGCAAAAATAATGATGTAAGAATGTCGTTTTTTGACGTAGAAAAGTACGTCAAAAAACAACATTATTACGTCATTATTTTTGCACCAACCTAATAATTATTACCAGTAATAAAAATCTTAAATAACCCATTGAGGTGTTGATATGCCATAAAATGAATCAAAACCAAACCAATCTAATAGGTAGAATGTTTACAAATGCAGAAAGTGGGAATGGTATGTAGAGCTCAAATTACAGTCAAAAATGATACTATTTTTTTCGCACAAATATTCTTGGATAGGTATGAATCCATTTTTCCCCCCACCACCTTTCTCAGATAGGGATTACTGGCAAGGTAATTTATGTTACTATTGACTGACCCAACTAATGACGATGACTTTCAGCATCTTTTATTTTTCTAAATAATATAATAGTAAATTGGAGTCAGAAGGAACCAGTTGACTAAAAAGATATTTTTTTCTGCTAATTGATGAGACTCCAGAATCCGCTTGAAGTAATAAAAACATTTTAGTGTTTTCATTTAGCCTCAACATCTTTTGGTGGTGAGTTTGATACCGAACATTACTTTTTTTTAAAGCTAAATAGTTGGCTATTATTATATGAACACACACACACATACACACATACATGAATTCATACAGTTATGTATTATATTTATGACTATACACTAATACTAAAAACTACTGTAGGTTCAAGCAATTTTTCTCTTCAAATATTTATCATAAAACCAATTCTCATTTCGTCATTAGCTAAATTAATAGATTGATAATTAATATGTATATATCTGAGCAAGCATCTGCAACAGGGATTGGCTAGCTATCTAAGCAAAGGGTTGGCTCAAAAACAAGTAGTTGGCTATTATCATATGAACACACACACATACATACATACATGAATTCATACAGTTATATATTATATTTATGACTATACACCAATACTAAACACTACTCTAGATTCAAGCAATTTTTTCTTTGAATGTTTATCACATAACCAATTTTCATTTTATCATTAGCTAAATTAACAGACTGATAGCCAAGAGAAAAAAAATATTCCTCTTCTTAGCTATGATTTGAGCTGGAGTTTCCTCCAAGTTGATCTGAGATGTCACGGACCAGCTCAAATTAGTATTTATTGATTTCTATGACTTATCAAACCATAGCAGGTTATTTAAAGCCAGAAAATATTTTTTTAGATTGAAAGAAAATTTTTTCATAGAGATTCATTCCTTTCCCAAGGGTATTTGCACATCATTTAATATAATAAACCTAACAGGAATTGAAACTTGGCTCTCCAATTAACAATTCTGATTCATTATACCAACTAAACATCTCTATGCAGGTACTGAACAGGCTAAACGTTGCTTAACTTTGGTGATCTTATGGGAGCTGTTATTTCAATGTGATGTGGCTGTAAGCCAGCTCAAAATAAAACATACCTCATAACCAATGTTTTAATGATCTAACCACAGTTCTATACATTTTCTCAATTGGCTAGAGAAAATTTTGTTTTGGTAATTTTTATTATTATTTTTAGCTGCACTTGGTTTTTGTTTTTTTTTGGGGGGGGGGTTAATCAATGATGTAAAATTTACTTACTTTTTCATTGTAAGGTAGACCTTTCAGCACTTCTGGGCCCATCCAATAAGGTGAGCCTACAATGGGAAGTTGTGTTTTGTCTCTGAAAGAAGATAAAGAAAAAAGAAATAATTTATCTATAGAATATTAAAGAGAATGGAAGAAATAAACTATGACATGAAGTAAAAATTATAAAGAACAGAAGGAAGAAGATAATTTTCAAATTGCATCAGATGACTAGATTTTATTTTGGGTACAAAATTTTATTACTGCTATTTGTTGTAACTTAGGGAAGTTTAATGAATAGAATAATCAAATGAAGGTTTGTAATGAACGATAATACTTAGAACAAGAACAACACATATAAGATTCACCAGTGGCATGTAGTAGTAGTAGTAGTAGTAGTCAACTGCTAGAAGTGAGTCAAATGAATTCCACAATAAATCTCCAACTGCAGACCAACATACAGTATTTACTACTGTATTTATGTGAATGGGACATACCCATTATCTTTTGTAGGTATGCTATAACATGATTAAAACAGACATTAAATTGAAGAAAGAGGAGGAAATAATTATAATTGCTACAAATGGTAGCTGAGGAAAAACAGACCAGTTTCTGTTCCTCGTTCTTCAGAAGTTGATCAAGTAAATCAAATCAAATGTACACCATGACTAAAAGGGGCAAAATATTCCTAATGAGGATAAGATATACATCCAAATCCAAGGACCTACTCACACCTGTTGGAAGAATCCCTCCTTGATTTACCATGTATTTACGAGTGTAACTATACTCACCACACTTGTCTAATTGCTGTCTGGTGAGGCTATTTGGCATGGATGGCTATTGACTACCACCTTTAACAGCTCGTGTTTTGTGCTACTTGGGTTCCATACCAGACCAGTTCAGTTACCAACTCCTCAGATTTTTTTGTTCAGAGTTGTTTTTCTCCTAGACTGGTTACCACCCAAGGCTCTAGAACTGAGTCTATCCTGCTATTTACCCATAGATGGAGCGGGGATAAGTGATGGAATTATACTTTTCCCAAGGGTATTTGTACATAACTGAATGTAACATACCAGAATGGAATTTGAACTCAGCTCTCCGATTCCTCAATCTGAGCTATTATCCATTACTCTACCACACCTCCAAGATATATATATATATATATATATATATATATATAATTATTTATTCAAAAATAACTATTCTACATTCAACACCATCACTTGATAAGACACCAAAAGTGTTGAAACAAAATGGGTATTTATAACATATTTGTGTTATAATTTTTTAATAAATAATTATATTTGCTCTACTCTATATTGAGCACTCTTTTAAGAATAGTATTTTTTGGTTATTGGAATTTATTCCATATACACCAATCCTATATATATATATATATATAATTAATAATATACCAATATCTGTGCATATATTACAAATAGATATCATTAAAACCTAACAGCTATTCTTTCTGTTTACACTGTGAGCAGTGATGAGGTGATGTTTGGTGATACCCGGGGCCAACTCAATGATTGCTATGACCCTATGATTCAAGTAGGCAGGCCTATAGGGCCTAGTACTAAGAAATATGAGAAAGGTAGACATTTTAAATATGTATGAGACCTGAAATAAACACTTTATTCAAATTAAACATAAACTAAATTTTTTATTTCACTTTCTAACTGGATGCACTTCCAATATACATGCCTGGGGCCATTGCACAGTCTTCCCCACTTCACATCAACACAAAGAAGGCTGATGAGATTTAATATGGTCTATAAAAATTTCTAGCAGAAGTCCAAATGTAACCAGAATTAAAACAGGAAATATATCATCAGGGTCATACATAGTATACTGATGATTATTTATCAGATGTTCTGCAACTGCAGACCCAGATGTATTCATGCATCCATGCAAATTCTGAAATTGGCCCTTATGTAAACAGGCCAGCACATGTCGACTTCCTCTTCATCAACCATTGCATGGTTTTACCTTATAGTCAGCATCACACTGTTATTTAAAATGATAAATAATAGAACCATTGTAAATTAGTAGACCATCCTTAGGCACTGGTATAATACTGATTAGGCAGAGAAGAAAATATATAGATTAGTAGCCAAATCAACTTTTTTTTTTACACTTACAAAACAAATTAATTGATGAAAATCCACAGAAATCATAAATCTAGATATTTATTGGGGTCCAAGAATGTTGGTCAGTTATGTGTCATGTATGATATACGCTTAAGCAATCATGTACCTTTCGATACATGACTGACGAGGCAGATTTTTTTCTAGCAGTATATTGTCATTTCTTTCTGTGATTGACCAGTTGCCATCCAAGGCTATAGAGCCCGGTCTGTCTTGCTATTTACCCATAGCTGGTGGGAGAAGAGTATTAGCTCATAAGTGAATGCAATAGATCTGACTGAAATTCAAACTTGGCTCTGTGATTTCTCAATCCAAGCTGCTATCCATTACTCCACCATACCTCCCAAAAATGTAGGTTAATGAAATTGTGCACTCTTCAAACAAAATGCAGGATTTTTTAATTCATTTTTCTTTCAGAGCAAATCATTAGGGTAAATGGACTAAAGATTTAATTAGGTTTATCTTGCATTGTTTATCACAGTGGTTCTCAAACAGGGGAATCTACTTGGTGGGGGGGTATTTTAGGGGAGGAATCTTTTAGTTTTTCTTTTTTTTTTATTTAAAGAAATTGGAGCCCATCAAGAGTTAAAAAACTCCTCTATAAAAATAATCCATGTAAATGTATATATACTAATATGGAAAATAATGAAAGTTTTTAATAATATATGTATATTATTTGGAATGCATTTTTTGAGTCGGACAATTTCAGAAAGGAGGAGAATGAAATTCTGACATATGGTGAAAATGGTGCATTTGACAAAAAAAGGTTTAGAACAAACCAAAACCCAAACAAGTATATAACCGAGTAAATGTGGTTTCCAGTACACCAATATTACAAATATAGAATCTGTTTGGGTACCAAACATCCAAAAAGAGAAGAAAATCATTAATCTCATTTTTACATGTAAAACACAGAACTAGAAGTGACCTATTCAATCCTTCATAAAAAAAAAAACCTCCAAAACACTATCAAACTCACAAAAAGTGTTTGTTCACATATCAAAAATAACAGTTGGTCTTTTAATATGAGCAATCAGACCTTGTTTGTGAAAAACCTACAAAAATATTAGCTATTGATTGGCCCCAATGGAATACCCATAGAGAGCCCATAAATTTGTCTGCACATAATATTGTTGGAACTGAATTTAACTGACAGTGGCAAACTTCAGCAATACAAGGGTGGGAGAAATTACTATAGAAACCATCAATACAAATATCAATTGTTTTCATCAAAAGGAACAAAAAAGTGAACAAGTTACTGATGTCAAATGAGCAAATGAATTTGTTGTCAGAAGAGAGATGAAGAAAAAATTGGCCAGGTCACTGGGTCTTGTTTTTTTCCTCTTTCTTTTTCAAGCTATCATTCATCGTAATTACAATAGTTTCCCCACTTTCTGCCCATTAATATGTCAGTAAGAAGATGAAATAATAAATAAACATTATACAGGCAAAAGAAGGAAGAGAAAGCACCACAAGAGTGAAGGAATAGGCATCACAGGAAGAACAGAAGAGTAGTCATCATGAGAGGGAGGGAGGGAAGGAAGGAAGGAAGGAAGAGAAGTCATCATGAGAGGGAGGGAAGGAAGGAAGGAAGGAATCACGAGAGGGAGGGAAGGAAGGAAGAGAAGTCATCACGAGAGGGAGGGAGGGAGGGAAGGAAGAGAAGTCATCACGAGAGGGAGGGGAGGAGGAGGGGAAGGAAGAGAAGTCATCACGAGAGGGAGGGAGGGAGGGGGGAAGGAAGAGAAGTCATCACGAGAGGGAGGGAGGGAAGGAAGAGAAGTCATCACGAGAGGGAGGGAGGGAAGGAAGAGAAGTCATCACGAGAAGGAGGGAGGGCGGGAAGGGAAGTCATCACGAGAAGGAGGGAGGGAGGGAAGGGAAGTCATCACGAGAAGGAGGGAGGGAGGGAAGGAAGAGAAGTCATCACGAGAGGGGGGAGGGAGGGAAGGAAGAGAAGTCATCACGAGAGGGAGGGGAGGGAGGGAAGGAAGAGAAGTCATCACGAGAGGGAGGAGGGAGGGAAGGAAGAGAAGTCATCACGAGAGGGAGGGAGGGAAGGAAGAGAAGTCATCACAAGAGGGAGGGAGGGAGGGAAGAGGAAGGAAGAAGAAGTCATCACGAGAAGGAGGGAGGAAAGGGGTCATCACGGGAAGGAAAGGGAAGTCATCACGAGAAGGAGGGAGGGAGGGAGGGAAGGGAAGGTCATCACGAAGTCATCACGAGGGGAGGAAGGAAGGAAGAGAAGTCATCACGAGAAGGAGGGAGGGAGGGAAGGAAGAGAAGTCATCACGAGAAGGAGGGAGGGAAGAGAAAGCATAACAAGAGGAAGGAAGAGGGAATTAAAAGAAGAAAGGAAGGCATTAAGAAAAAAATGAGGAAAAAGTAGACAATTATCTTACAGAAAGAAGAGGAGAGAATCAATTATGAGAAAAGGAAGGAAAGAAATCCAAATGAAAGAAAAAAGGAAGGAACATCACTTAAAATAGTAAAATCATTGGTTCATCTAATTCATTCGCCTTTATTCTTTCAGTTTGTATATTTTGAGCAGCAGCAGCAGTAACTGATATTCTTCCACCTAAACACCTTATGTGGCAAAAAAATAAGCATAGTAATATTGTTTTCTTATTGTCTCTATTTTCACTCCTCAAACATAATATTAGGTTGGTGCAAAAATAATTTTGTTTTCTCAAATAGTAACATATGTTAGAAAACGAAATTATTTTTGCACCAACCTAATATTTATTCCAGAAGTGACATTAAAAAAATGAAAAGTAACAGCAAAAGTATTAGTTCCTTGCTAAAGTTTTAAACATAAAATATTTTTTCTGAAATGAAAAATAACTGCATAAAAATTTAAAAGTTTTTGAAAAAAATAAATAAAAAAATAACTTTAGTGACCTTGAAATTCCACACCACTAATCCCATGTTTATTATTTAGTCTCACAGACATGATGTGGCTTCCCTCTGTCTTCTCTACAAATATTTTCATGACAACTGCTCTGACAAGCTATTTGCACTGGTTCCCAAACTGCATAAATTTAAGCATGCTACTAGGTTGTCATATCAGTCCCACTCTTTCACTGTTGAAACAGCCTCTTCTACTCCAACAGCTTCTTCTCCCGCATTTCTCAAATGGAACTCCCTTCCTCTTACTGACTTCCCTGATAACTATAATCTTCAAATATCAAAATGTAATGTCAATCAACATCTTCTGATGCCTTGATCTTGATCCCCATCCTTCTCTATATCCTTTCCTCAAACACTCCTCTTTACACCTGCTCTCACTTTCTGTAACCCCTTGCATACTAGTGGCACTCCCACCTTCCTAGGGGTGAAATGCTTGAAAAAAGAGTTAATTTTATAGGCTTATTTTTAACCTTCCAGGTTTACCCGTACCAAATATTTATTTTTATAAAACCAGCTTTCATTTCTTTAATATTTGAAATTATGTGAGGTCACTTTATGAGTGCTACTAGTACCATGTAACCCATTACTATCTGTCAGTTGGGTCATTCGTAACTAAACTGCTTCCTCAGGTATTTTTTTTTTCCTGGTAAATAGAATGGCTAGACATTTAGCAGGATTAAAAACAGAACTAGTCAAAAGTTGGATGAACCCTCTTGTAATGTGAATGAACATCTGGAACAGTAGGGTAGACTTGGACCCATAGCTATGTATGCAGCCAGTGTGTTGATGATAGGGCGTCACTGGATGGCCAGGACAGAGGGTTCCCCAATGGAATCAACATTAATATCACAGTGATAAAGGTTGGAGGATATCAGTTGTGGTTTACCTACTTGCTCAAGACAATGCTATACACAGATGAATATCACTTTAGCTTTCAAACCAGATAAATGGAAGGAACTAGTAAGGTGCTCAGTTGCACAGCAACCCTACAAACACTCCTGATAATTGGATGGATGGTACAATAAATGTTTGATAAACATTGCAGCTCTGCTTGACCTACTCTCTAAATAATACAAACTTCTCATTTCAAAATTTCAGACAGAAAAATAATTATATATATATATATATATATATATATATAGTACCATGTAACCCATTACTATCTGTCAGTGGGTCATTGGTGACTAAGCTGCCTCATCAGGTTTTTTTTTTTCCTGGTGAGTAGAATATATATATATATATATATATTTTCTGTCTGAAATTTTGAAACAAGGAGTTTACATTATTTAGAGAGTAGGTCAACAGAGCTGCAATGTTTATCAAAATTAGAAAAATATATATATATATATATATATATATATTCATTTGTATGGATATGAGCTTGTGACCCTGTATTTCACACTTTTACAATCATCAGAGTTTGTCTGATGATCGCAAAAGAGTGAAACATAAGGTCACAAACTCATATCCATACAAATGAATATGTTAGCCCTATTACTGTTATTAAGCACATTCCAATAAGTACCACACATATATAATATATATAGAAAATACATATTTTATGATATTACACTGAAAGCATGTAAAAATCCCGATACAATTGCAGTCATGTTTTGATGTGTATCAATGCATCTTATCAGGTGATTGTAAATTACTGATGACTGATGAGTGAATGATTTATCATATATATATATATATATATATATATATATATATATATATATATATATATATATATATATATACACACACACACAAACACATAAGTGAACATTGAATTCAATACAATGTTTCAAGCTTAAATGCAATTGTCAAATCATTTGCCTTGTGTTTTTGCTCGACTATATATACAGGTCAATGATGCATTGTGGGTACTCTATTGTATTAATCTAACAGTTATTTTGTTGGGTGTTAATGCTTATGATTTGACTTATTCTAGGGGCTACTAAGTTGAAATAATTTTGGAACTGATTGTATTTTGGGGGTATTTTAGTGTTAACTTTTTATTTATTATTTTACTGTTGGTTGTAATTATTACATTTATTTGTGTTTATGTGTGCGTTCGTGTTTTTATATATATATATATATATATATGAATGTGTGTGTTTTATTAAATATGATAGACAGTGAATATTCTGGAATTTTTTTTATTTTCCTTGATTTTACAATTTTTCTTTTCTGAGGACTGGGTGTATGGGGAAATTATTAAAAAGTCCTCAGAAAAGAAGTCTTGTAAGAATGCAAGAAAATAAAAAATTGTAAAAATTACTTGTTCAGCATATTTAATGAAACATGCATAACAGCAGGATTGTTAACCAAACATATACCAAATAAGCCAAAATGACTTCATGTCTTTGAATTACTAAATATTTAATTTAAATAAAACTCTTGATACTTATGAAATAAATATATATCATTCTTTGGAGATGAGTTTTGAAAATATGAATTTATAAAATAAATGTACTTACAGAGGATCAGGAATTTTTGCTGCCAGACCAAAGTCTGCTACAATGGCAGTGTAGACATCATCCTCTTCTATTTTGATTAAGATATTCTGCAAGAGAGAAAAGAATAAAAACATAAATTCTTAAGTCAGGCCAAAAACAGATTAGTAGCAGATTCCCTTGTTTTAAGGAGACAATGTTTAAAAAGAGACAGCTTAGGTGGGGCCATAGTGAGAGAATGTGGGGCCATAGTGAGAGAATGTGTGGTCATAAAAAGAATGTAGATTACCGCTAAAAAACAGGTAAAGTTCATTAGAAACAAAAAAAAAGTGCTGAATGTCAATGTAACCTGGTAAATCCAATGGTAATGTCAGCTGTTTCTTTATAAGGAAACATTCAGCCTTCATTGACTGAGTAGTGAGTGTTACCACAGCTTTAAATTTATAAAATCTATTAAAAAAAGTCTTTAAGCAAATCAGTTTTACATGCCCAGTAACCTATTGCTGTTTCTAGTATTGATGGGGTTTCCTTCCTAACCTTTTGTTTGAAGTCATGTGGAACATCAACATCTTTATTATGTCATTATTTCCTCTGCGGGTTACATGTGATATTCATTGCAGTTGTTGCTTCTGTTGAAATTCCTCATTCCTGTTATTTGGTAAACTTCTTTGTGATTCTCTGATGCCATTTCAGTGTTTGAAGGAGGATATTCCTTGCTAAGATTGACAGGCTTCATGCTTCATATCAATACCCCTATATTACAATGAATGTGAGATAATCACAGATGAAGAAGAGACTTGAGGCAACAAAAATGTGGTTCTACAGAAGGATACTGAGGATACCATGGATGGGACTAATGAGCAATGAGGTGGTTTTAAGAGAAATGGAAACCAAAAAACAAAAAAACAAAATGGATGTTTATAGTTAGAATCAGAAAGAGAGTTGAAATTTTTAAGATACATAATGAAGAAAGAGGACTTGGAGAATGTGACACTCACAGGACATAGTGAAGGCAAGAGAGACAGATGGAAATAGTGTGTAACCTACCTAAAAAGATTGTTGAATGGATAGCAGAACAAGCAGTTGGAGGGATAGAAAAAAAACAAACATTACTAAGAGCTCCAAAGGAAGTTCTGGAGAGTTATGACTGCTCATGTCTAGAAAGGATGCACTGCATAAAAGCAAATAAAGATAGAAATAATTCCTAAGTAACTGTTTTAATGTTTATTTCCCTCATACCTTTTAATGTGTATTTCCATCATACCTTTTAATGTGTATTTCCATCATACCTTTTAATGTGTATTTCCATCATACCTTTTAATGTGTATTTCCATCATACATTTTAATGTGTATTTCCATCATACATTTTAATGTGTATTTCCATCATACCTTTTAATGCATAACTTAGTTTGTTTTATGGCATATCAACCTCAATGAGTTATTTAATGCTGACAAAATTTTATTGCTGGTAATATGTTTTTTTTCAAAAATCTATTTTTGAGAATATTTTTCCTTGAAGGAATCTATAGCTGGTCATATTTTTCCAAAGAATGTATATCTGTTTGCATTGCTGGTATTTTTTTTTTTTTAAGTATTGCTGATAATAATTTTTCCTTTAAAAATTATTGATAATAATTTTTTTTTATTACAAAGTATTTTTACACAAGTTTAGGTGTTAACTATTTGCCCATAGCTGTGACCCTAACAGGTGCTACCACCCCAGGTCAGGGTGGACCTGGGAACACCACACTCCTCAAAACTTCCTGATCAGAGGCCTTGCAGCTGGACGTTGTTTATCGTCTTACCCAGGACGGATACCTTATATACAGAGGTGATAGTTATTGACTATGTATAAGAAAATAACCTTTTTTAAATGTCATGTAGCCCTCAAGATAGAGGTTATTATCACTCCCCAGAGAATCCTTAATTGGAAGGATACAGAATTTGTTTCCTATTGCTTCCTCCACAGTTTTGAATTTAAAGTGATTCTTCTCCAGAACTCTGCTATCCAAGAGATTGTGTCCTGTTATTTTTTTAGTGAGTATGAAATAAAAATAACTCCCTGTATCTACTCCTTTCAAATTTGAGTTGAGGAAAAATACAATTTGCAAGCTTATGTGAAATTTTCTTTGGACCAATGAAATCTTTACCTTCACAGAGATTGGGCAGTGAGCTGAGAAAAAGATGGTAACAAATTTATGAGCCTATGGGAAATTTCATTTGAACCAATGAAAACCTTGTCTTCATACAGAAATTAACCATTGAGCCAAGAAAAAGATGGAAACAAATTCACAAGCCTATGTGAAGTTATGTTTGAACCAATGAAAACCTTGTCTTCACATAGAAATTAGCCATTGAGTGAAGAAAAAGAAAGAAAAGAAAATAGGGAGCCTATGAAAAATCCTTTTTGTTAGAAAATTAGAAAAAAAATTAAATTAACAAGAGAGAAGTCATGTGAAATGTTTTTTGTTTATCACATCAGTGTTGAAGTTTTTGCCATTGTCAAATTACTTGCCAATTATCAGTTTTTTAAACAAGCACATGGCACTTCAAGGAACTTTCCTTCAACAATCCAAGAAAAGTAAGTATTTCAAACCATCTCTCATCTACTTTTGAACATCTGCAAACCATATATCCCTTTTGTGAGGAACGAACTCTCTTACCTTTGTTTTAAAAATTTTTGCATATTATTTTGTGTCAGATCATTTAATCTGTTGTATGAACATTCCCTCTTCATAGTAATTCATTAAACTATAGACTTTAAAAATTTCTGATTTATTTTCCTGAAATGAGCTACTGACACAACTTCAAGCATGTAAATTCGTAAATAAATTCCTTATCTTGTTTTGTTAAAACTAATCATGTGTTTCCTTATTATTATCCCCCTTCAATTAATCTTCTTGGTGTGGATAAATCAACTGTTTATTTTAACCTTAAAGACCCACACCACTATAATTTAACCTATAACTGATGGAAAAAAAAGATTGATTCATGCCTCTACCAAGGGCACTAGTAAGAAAGTAAATGTAATAGACTAAGCTGAGATTTGAACTCTGCTTGCCAACCTCAATTTTCATGCCAATAACCACTACATTACCTGCACATCCACTAAATAAAACCTTCACACTAACTTCTTTATAAAGTGAGAAATAAAACCTCCAAGACTTAATTCTCACCTCACTTGGGCATTTCAGACAATTTATCTATCCATATCAAAACTGATACCAAACTAAAACACTTCCAAATTCTCATTTCATAGGACAATCTTTGAGTATGCCAAAGCTGAATGGGTTAACTTTAGATCACACATTGGTGAAGTTCCTCTATCTAGATTCTTCCAGAACAGCCTACCTCATCTCCAAATGAATCCTTTATCCCACAAAAAAAATCATCAGAATCTGAACCACCAGCTTTGGTTCACAGAAGCATGTATTGCAGCCATCATTCACCATAACCATTGATACTATCTCTATCAGATTAAACAGTATAGTAAAACCCTTACTACTTTCAGAACTGTTCACAATGAATGCCAGAGAATTCTGGATAATTCAAATAACTGTTGTGCATAGTCAGTGAAAACCAAAGTTGAAAACAAAAAACTTTGTTCTGACAAAAATTCTCAAGAAAAGCATATCATGGCCTTGTGGTCATCTCATCCTCTTTGGATAAAACTAAGCTCTTTGCAATGAACTTTACCTCTAATTCCAAATTCCATGTTAGGTGATAAGGGCCATCCTCTACCTAACTTCCCACCTCTCTTGGAGTGCAAATTTTGTGATATATATATCACAACATGGGAAGTTTCTTGCCTAATCAAAAGGCTTTAACTCCATAAAATCCCAGTGCTTGTTCTTAAGAACACCTTATCTCAGAGTTATCTCCAAATCTTGGTGAAGCTGTTCAAATGCTGTCTGAGAAGTGTTTCCGTCATCTATGGAAGGTTTAAGCTGAATACTCTGTCTACAAAAATGCAGAGGAGCATTCATCCACATTCCAATATCAACCCATCAGTCTTAGGGTCATCATCAAATTCTTTGAGGCTATCATCATCAAGAATGAAAAAGGTGAATCACCTTTTTCATTCACATCTGTTGAGATGATCAACAACCTTCTTGATGATGATAGCCTCAAAGAATTTGATTTTGGTGTATTTTTAATCTAATCTTACAGTTTAATCTGCTAAAAAATATTTTTTTTTTCTATATTCAATGTTGAGTAAAATAACCAGACAGATTGGGCTCTCAAGCCTTGGGTGGTAGCCAGTCTAGGAGAAAGACAACTCTGAATTCCAAACTATGATAAGGCAATGGGGAAACCACTCCACTATCTTTTCGAAGAAGTTATGGCAAGAGATTAAAGAGAGCAAAGTTATGGGGACCGATAACCACCAACATCTTAAAGTGATATAGCATTTTAATAAAGTGGGCATAATACATAATAGAAAAAAAGTTGGATAATTCTTAGTGTAGCAAATGTGTAGCTAAGGTCTTGTTAAATTGAAGATAGCTGGACCTGTCCCAAAAATGTATACGGAACATTTACTTTCAACTGTTATTTATCAGTAAGTGGAGTCAACTTCAAAGTACAGAGCAAGAGGCTCAGACAGAGGGAAAGTCATGGAATGAAGATAAATTGCTTTTTTAGATGAAGATAACAAGACAAAGTTGTTATCTATAAAACAAACCATCCTGAGAAAAGGCATTCAGAAGAACAAAGTGGGCCCCTGGAGAGAACGAAAAAAAGAAGACAGCCACTAGATTATCCACTTCACTTGTTCATAGAAATAGGTTAAAACCAAAGAATAAAATCTGGTTTACTTCAAGAAATTGTTTTGCTTTTTACTCGTGGGTAACAATCTGGCCAAAGCATTTCACTGGAAGACACTGTACCCTGTCAACAAACTTGGTTTGGTTTGTTTTACAGCATATCAACCACAATGGGTTATTTAATGCCAACAATATTTTTCTTCATAAATGTATTCATGGTAATTTTTTATTCCTTCAAAAATCTATTTCTGGTAATATTTTTTCTTCAAATATCTTTCTGGTAATGTTTTTTTCTTCAAATATCTATTTCTGGTAATGTTTTTTTCTTCAAATATCTATTTCTGGTAATGTTTTTTTCTTCAAATATCTATTTCTGGTAATTTTTTTTCTTCAAATATCTATTTCTGGTAATATTTTTTTTTCTTCAAATATCTATTTCTGGTAATGTTTTTTTCTTCAAATATCTATTTCTGGTAATATTTTTTTTTCTTCAAAAATGTATAGCTGGCAATATTTAAAAAAAAAATATATAGTTTGGTTTGTTATGTTTTACAACATATCAACCTCAATAGGTTATTTAATGCTAACTAGATTTTTATTGCTGGTAATATTCTTTTTTTCAAAAATGTATTACTGGTAATTTTTTTTTTTTTTTTTCAAAATCATATTGCTGGTAATATTTTTTTTTTTTCAAAAATGTATTGCTGGCAATAATTTTTCTTCAAATATTTATTGCTGGTAATAATTTTTTACAAAGTATTTCTAGTATTAAAACCTATTTTTATACGTTCATAATGTTTTGACCCCAGTTTTGGGATTAACTATTTACCCATAGCTGGGACCCTAACAGGTGTTACCATCCCGGGTCAGTGTGGACCTGGAAACACCAGCAATTAAGAGGTGGTTCCAAGCTCCTCAAAACCTCCAGAGCAGAGGCCTTGCTGTTGGACACAGTTTATCGTCTTACCCAGGACGGAACAAACATGGTGTTTGGTCTGAGCTGCAAAGCAACATTAGATTCACAAAGCAATAAAAGGAACACATGAGAATAGGAAAGCTGTGTTGTACCAATGTTTTCTAGTAGAAAACTTGGCATTCCTAATCCTGGCTTTTACCTGGGCTCAGACTTTGATTTCTTGTATCAACATGTAATTAGCACAAGACAAGCCATTATAGCTGATTAATACCAAAATCTTGTCCAAGAGGTTATTTTAGATTCAGAGTCAAGAGTTTTCCTATCATTTGTAGAACTTAAGTACTTAAGATTTCAGTCAATTACCAGATTTAAGACTGTATGAAAAGGATATTTTTTTTAGGTGATTATCCAATTAATTCTTTACTTTTTATATTATTTATATGACCTCACAGTATCCTTTGTTCCACTTGATTCTATTTTATTTACATTTTGCATGTAATCCTAATGATTGGTCAATATAAGTCACTCACATTCTTGAAGAACAATGTGGCTAAACACTAAAATACAAACAAAAATCAACCAAGACTCTTGCTTGATAATCAAATATTGATTACCTGCAAGTATATTTTTAGAAGTTAACCTCTTCAGTTATATCTGAAAACTGCTTTAAAGACAAAGTTTTGTGACAGTTGAGTCAATGTTTTGAAATGTGGCTACCATTATATATATATATATATATATATATATATATATATATATAAACGTATGTATGTGTGGCCGAGTGGTTAGAAAATTTTCTTTCTGACCATGATGACTGGGTTCAAATCTCATCATAGTCAGGAAGGTGACTTCCTGATGTTATCAGACTGGATTGAGGTCAATCCCAGTGTGCGGCACCTTTGGAAAGTGCCTGAAAACCATACCACGTGTTGACCCAAACCTTGTGAGTGAAATTGGGTAGATAAAACTCTTGTGGGTTGTTGATAGCTGTGCTAGCACAAAGCCACAAGTCATCGTGGTCGAGGGCTTGAGCATGCTGACATTGTGCAGTATAAACAACAAGTGGGCTCTGTGAGTGTTGAGCAAAACCCAAATGTGCCTGAGCAAGCATCTGCAATAGGGATTGGCTAGCCGTTCTAGTAGATGGGTATCCTTAAATATGAGTGGCCAGCTATTATATATATATATATATATTTTACATACTCACATAGGGTGCAATAGCCATTTTATATATTTTTAATTTAGCACATATATGTTCATTTTGATTTTGTCAACTGCACAGTATAGGAGGGTCAGTTGCGCACCATCTATGAGAAAAAGAGCACCATGACATAATTCACTCTGCCAGAAATTTGGTAACAACATGCCGTACTGCTTGGCATTCATGCCAGAAGCTCCAATACAAATATTTCAGAGTGTTGGGGTATCAATCTGAGGACAGTGCAGAGAATTCGGAAAGAGATAAGTTTAATGGTGATTAAGAAGGTGTGTGGAGTTTAAATTTAAACAAGAGAAATAAATTGATGGTTACATGTAGGCATAAAAATAAATATCTTAAATCTTTTTAATATAAATTGCAGTTTATTTTTAGGTAAATTTCAATCCATTTTTGTTTTGCTTTTTTATATATAAAAATAAAATATTCCTTTCATAAGAAAAAACAAATCTCACAACTCTAGAATAAAATAAAATTTTTTTTTTTAAATTATTTTTTTTACATATACATACACACACACATATATATATATCCCATTTATTTTAATTGACAAAAATAATTTTTAAAATTAAAAAACTGTAATCCCAGTATAATATATATATCTATGCCAGCATTACAATAACCAGATATATTTTAAAAATTTAAATTACATAATGGCCAGTCTATAAATTAGTACCTGAAAATTGTATATATATATACATGAAACTTAAAGGCATGCTATCAGTAAAGAATCAAACTATATGATAAAATATATATATATATATATATATATATATATATATATATATATATATATATATATAAACCAAAATACATATATTTACAAAGGTAAACACACACAAGTGTACATGCATGCAAATGATCATTTCTAAATTTTTTAGTACCATTCACTATGGCTTTATTTTAGCAGAGCTGCATTAATTTGCAGTACATTATATTAAACAAAAAAAAACAAATCACAAAAGTATGAGGTATTTTAAGTTTATATTCTAAATTTGGTGGAAACAAATTCTAGAGGGAGCCAGAAGATAATCAGGCATGAAGGCAGGCACCTAGAGAAGACCAAAACAAGAACCAGTCAGGCAGGAAAAGAGAAGCAGATGACGACCAGGCAGGCAGGCAGTCAGGCAGGGAGGAAGAGAGGACCAGATGAAAACCAGACAGGCAGGAAGATGGGATCATTTTTGCAGACAAACCATAAAATATTGTTTTCAGGAAGAAAAAGGATTTTTTTTTTTTAAATTTAAAACCAAGCAGTAAAAGGAAAAGGGGACCAGATTAAAAACCAGACAGGCAAAAAGGGGGGACCAAAATTAAAAAAACCAGACAGGCAGGAAAAGGGGACCAGATTGAAAACCAGACAGGCAGGAAGAGGGGACCAGATTAAAACCAGACAGGCAGGAAAGGGGATATATATTAAAAACCAGTACAGGCAGGAAGAGGGGACCAAATTAAAAACCAGACAGGCAGGAAGATGGGGACCAGATTAAAAACCAGACAGGCAGGAAGGCAGGGACCAGATAAAAACCAGACAGGCAGGAAGATGGGATCAGAGGAAGAAAAACCAGCCAGTCAGGAAGAAGGGACCAGATTAAAAACCAAGCAGTCAGGAAGAGGGGACCAGATTAAAAACCAGACAGGCAGGAAGAGGGGACCAGATTAAAAACCAGACAGGCAGGAAGAGGGGACCAGATTAAAAACCAGACAGGCAGGAAGAGGGGACCAGATAAAAACCAGACAGGCAGGAAGAGGGGACCACTTAAAAACCAGACAGGCAGGAAGAGGGGACCAGATAAAAACCAGACAGGTAGGAAGAGGGGACCACTTAAAAACTAGACAGGCAGGAAGAGGGGACCGTATAAAAACCAGACAGGCAGGAAGAGGGGACCAGCCGACAAACCAGCCAGTCAGGAAGAGGGGACCAGATTAAAAACCAAGCAGTCAGGAAGAGGGGACCTGACAACAACCAAGCAGGGAGGAAGAGGTAACCAAACGACAAACCAAGCAGGGAGGAAGAGGTGACCAAACGACAAACCAAGCAGGCAGGAAGAGGTGACCAAACGACAAACCAAGCAGGCAGGAAGAGGTGACCAAACGACAAACCAAGCAGGGAGGAAGAGGTGACCAAACGACATTCGGGCAGGCAGAGGGGACCAGCCGACAAACCAGCCAGTCAGGAAGAGGGGACCAGATTAAAAACCAAGCAGGCAGGAAGAGGGGACAAGCCGACAAACCAGCCAGTCCGGAAGAGGGGACCAGCTGACAAACCAAGCAGTCAGGAAGAGGGGACCAAACAACAATCGGGCAGGCGGAGGTGACCAAATGACAACCGGGTGGGTAGGTAGGCTGAGAGGATATGAAACAATCAGGTATCTGCAGAGGAACAGATAACTAATAGATAACCAGGAGCCAAAGGGCAACCAGACATGTATGTGCGTGCATGATAGAGACACAAAAGAGGATTAAACTAAAAAGAAAGAGAAAGGAAAATGGTAAGTGATTTTAAGTGTTTCTGAGGAAATGTTAATTCACTTTAACCAATTTAAGAATTCTAAGGAGTGTGGAAGCAACAATGTTTACGAGGATACAAATGCCTGCATGTGATGCACTGTTCACATGTTTGTCCCTCCTTCATTGTGCCTCACTATCCCTACCTCACTCATGGCTATCCCAGCTATAACTTTATTTCATAGCAACAGCAGCACAATAAGCTCATAAAGCAACAATAGCAGCAGCTTTAAAGACAATAGACAAATTTTTGTATAAAAAGGAAAATTTAAAAAGAAAAACTGAAAGAAAAAGAAATTCCTATTTTAATATTTTATCAATTTTTCATTCCCCATGACCTTGTTTTCTTCATTTTCTGTCTTGAATATCTTGAGCTGCTTGATCCCCCATAGCTAAATTCTGACCTTGGAAAGATGAGAGCAAAGAGAGAAAGAAGTGTAAATGAACAGTGATACCAACTTTAGGAAGGAAAGTGAAAGACAGAAAGAAGAGTAAGAAGAACCATTTCAATGATATCAATGATACAGATCTCCTTTCCAACCTCCTCATTTTCCTGCCGTATTCGATTTTAAGGCAAGTTGCGACCTCTCCTTTCTGATAGAGCAGTAAAAGCAGCAGCAAGTGATACCAATGGCTGATGTTAACTTCAGTTCCTGCCAACATTTATTCATTCATTTTGTGCATTCGTTCCTTCTCATTCTTTTATGTGATTTGCTGTCAATCACAGCAGTAACAGTGATCATGAACGGGAGGTTGGCATAAAAGGGAGAGAAAGGAGGGAGAGTAAGATAATGTGAACAAGAAAGAGTTCAAGGCAGAATGGACGCAAGGGAGATTAAAGAGTAATGAAAGGAAAATGAAAGACAGGCAGAGGGTAAAGAAGAATTAGGCAGTAAAAGAGCAAGGAAGGAGAAAGTCTAATGTAGGGGGTGGGAATAAAGATTGATAGAGGACGGAACTGAGAGTGGATGTGGGGTTGGAAAAAAGCCGGGGCAAAAAACAAGTGGTAAGAGGGAGTAAAAAATGAAAGGGATATTAAAGTGTAGCAAAAAAAATTTGAACAAGAAGTTGGAGAAAAAGAAACGGGAAAAATAACAATTAAAAAAAAAATGTAGAAAAATTAGAAATAAAGTATCAAAAAGAGTCAAGGAGAAGACACCAAGATATGAGAAAGAGAGATCAGAGAAGGAGAAAGGGGTACAAAGAAGAAAGAGAAGTCAGAGGGGGAAGGAGAAGAAAGAGAAGTCAGAGGGGGAAGAAGAAGAAAGAAAAGTCAGAGGGGGAAGAAGAAGAAAGAAAAGTCAGAGGGGGAAGAAGAAGAAAGAAAAGTCAGAGGGGGAAGAAGAAGAAAGAAAAGTCAGAGGGGGAAGAAGAAGAAGGAGAAGTCAGAGGGGGAAGGAAAAGAAAGAGAAATCAGAGGAGTAGAGGAAAAACCAAGACAAAAAGAGAGGGAGAGAAAAATCAAGAGAGAGAGAAAAATCAAGAGAGAGAGAAAAATCAAGAGAGAGAGAAAAATCAAGAGAGAAAAGCCAAGAAAAAGGAGAGAAAGAGAGAAAACCAAGAGAAGAAAAACAAGAGAGAGAAAAAATCAAGAGAGAGGAAAAATCAAGAGAGAAGAGACAGAAAAATTCAAGGAGAAGAGAAGAAAAAAACCAAGAGGGAGACAAAAAATGAAGAGAGAGAAAAGTAAAGAGGAAGAGAGAAAAAATGAAAAGAGAAAAATCAGAGAGACACTAAGATGAGAGAGAGAGAAGAGAGAGAAAACCAAGAGAAAGAGAAAATCAGAAGAGAGAGAGAGAAATTGGTTGATTTTTTTGTTTTTTTTGTTGTTTTTTTTACAGCTTATCACCCCTTTGTGGTTTATTTAAAGCCAAAACATATTTCTGATTGGATGAGGAAGGGAAGGATAAACAAGAGAGATAGGAGGAATTTGACAGTAAAATAAGAATGAAAAAAAAAAGATATAAAAGATGGGAAAGAGCAAGAAAGAAATCTGAAGAGAGGAAGAACACCCTAATAATATATACAGAGAAAACACAGAGATATAAGAGAGAGAGAGAGCAGGAGGAAAAGAGGAGGAGGGGGGACAAGAGGTGAAGGAAGGAATAGGAAGATGAGAGACCAAACAAACAAGAGAGGACAGGGACACAATAATAAGAGAGAGAGAAGGAACATGGAGATATAAGAGAGTAAAAGAGAGAGTAAAAAGAAGAGAGACCTCAGAGAGAGTAAAAGATAAAAAAATCAGGTGCAAATCTGCTGTGGAGGAACAGATTGATTGATTTTTTTTAGTTTATCAATCCTATGTGGGTTATTTAAAGTTGAAATATATTTCAGGAGCCAAAGGGTAACAAGAGAGAGAGAGAAAGACTAAAATATGAAGAGAGAAAAAAAAGAAATTAAAGGATGAAGAAGACAAAAAGAGATAAAATTGAAAATGAATAGGGTGGACATCAAGTGTTTCTGAGGAGAGAATCAAGAAGGAGAAAAATAAAATAAATTGGAATAGGAAGAGGAGGAAGAGAGAAAAAAAATGAAGAGGATGGACATCAAAAATAAGAGAGAGAAACAGAATAGGAGGAAAGATATCATCAAGAATGTTTGAAAAATAAAAAAATTGGAATAGGAGAGGATGAAGAGAGACAAAAGACAGAGAGAGCAAAAGAGAAATCTGATGAGAGGACATCAAAATAAGAGAGAGAAAAAAGGAAAAGATATCAAGACGGGAGAGAAAAATAAAATAAATTGGAATAGGGAAGAGATGAGAGAGACAAAAGACAGAGAAAAAAAGAGAAATCTGAATTTTTGAGAGAGAAACAGAAAGGAGGAAAAATATGTAAAAAAAATTGAAAGGGAAGAAAAGAAATTCCGGACATCAAATTTTAAATGAAAAATTTTTCATTGGAAGAGGATGAAGAGCAAAAGATGAGAAGAGAAACTGAAAAGAAAAATAAGAGAGAAACAGAAGAGGAGGAAAGATAAGAAGGAGAGAAAAATAAAATAAATTGGAATAGGAAGAGGATGAAGAGACAAAAAAGATAGCAAAAGAGAAATCTGAATGAGGCGGAAGAGAACAGGAAGATATCAAGACGGGAGAAAAATAAAATAGATAGGAAGAGAGAGAAAAAAAAAGAGAGAAAAAGGAAAAAGAAGGACAAAAAAAATAAGAGAGAAACAGAATAGGGGAAAGATATCAAGAAGAAAAATAAAATAAATTGGAAAAAATAAGAATGAAACAGACAGAGAGAGCAAAAAGAAAATCAAAAGAACAGGAGAGAAAAATCAAGAAGGGGGGAGAAAAATAAATTGGAATAGGAAGAGGATGAAGAGAGACAAAAAAGAGAGAGCAAAAAGAAATCTGAATGAGGCGGACATCAAAAAAAGAAAACAGAATAGGAGGAAAGATATCAAGAAGGGGAGAAAACATCAAAATAAAGAGAGAGAGAAAAGGAATATGAAGAGAGATAAAAAGAAGAGAGAAAAAAAATAAATTGAATAGGAAGAGAGAGGACATAAAGAGAGAAAGAGAGGAGACAAAGAGAATGTTAAAATAAGTTGAAAGGAAGAGATGAATGGAAAAAAGGGAGATTAAAAAGAAATGAAAGGACATCAAAAAAGAGAGAAAAACAGGGAGAGATATCAAGAAGGGGAGAGAAAATAAAAAATTGGAATAGCAAGGAGGATGAAGAGAGACAAAAAAAGACAGAATCAAAAGTGAATGGTTGAAGAGGACGGAAAGATATCAAGAAGGGTTGAAAAATAAAAATAAAAAATAGGAAGAAGAGGAAGAGGAGGAAAAAGAGAAACAAAAATTAAAAGTAAAAGAAAAAATTTGAAAAGAAGGCGGACATCAAAATGGAGAAGAGGAGAAAAAAAAAAAAAAAATTGGAAAGGAAAAGGATGAAGAGAGACAAAAGACAGAGAGAGCAAAAAGAGAAATCTGAATGAGGCGGACATCAAAATAAGAGAGAGAAACAGAAGAGGAGGAAAGATATCAAGAAGGGAGAAAAATAAAATAAATTGGAATAGGAAGAGGATGAAGAGAGACAAAAAGACAGAGAGAGCAAAAAGAAATCTGAATGAGGCGGACATCAAAATAAGAGAGAGAAGAAAAGGCGGAGAGAAAAAAAAATAAATTGGAATAGGAAGAGGATGGAGACAAAAGACAGAGAGAGCAAAAAAGAAATCTGAATGAGGCGGACATCAAAATAAGAGAGAAAGAAAAGAGGAAAGATATCAAGAGGGAGAGAAAAATAAAATAAATTGGAATAGGAAGAAGGATGAAAGAGACAAAAGACAGAGAGAGCAAAAGAGAAATCTGAATGAGGCGGACATCAAAATAAGAGAGAGAGAAACAGAAGAGGAGGAAAGATATCAAGAAGGAGAGAAAAAATAAAATAAATTGAATAGGAAGAGGATGAAGGAGAAAAAAAGACAGAGAGAGCAAAGAGAAATCTGAATGAGGGACATCAAAATAAGAGAGAGAAACAGAAGAGGAGGAAAGATATCAAGACGGGAGAGAAAAATAAAATAAATTGAATAGGAAGAGGATGAAGAGAGACAAAAGACAGAGAGCAAAAAGAAATCTGAATGAGGCGGACATCAAAATAAGAGAAGAAACAGAAGAGGAGGAAATATCAAGAAGGAGAAAAATAAAATAAATTGGAATAGGAAGAGGATGAAGAAAGAAAAAAGACAGAGGGGAAGAGAGCAAAAGAAATCTGAATGAGGGGACATCAAAATAAAGAGAAGAAACAGAAGAGGAAAAGATATCAAGAGGGGGAGAGAAAATAAAATAAATTGAAATAGGAAGAGGGAGAGAGACAAAAAAAAAAGAAATCTGAATGAGGTGGACATCAAAATAAGAGAGAGAAAAGAAAGAGAAAAGATATCAGAAGGGGAAGAAAAAAAAAAATAAATTGAATAGGAAGAGGATGAAGAGAGACAAAAAGACAGAGAGAGCAAAAAAATCTGAAAGAGAAATCAAAATAAAGAAAAAAACAGAAGGGAGGAAAGATAAAAGGAAGAAAAAATAAAATAAATTGAATAGGAAGAGAGAGAAAAATCAGAAGAGAGCAAGAGAAATCTGAATGAGGAGGAGATCAAAATAAGAGAGAGAAACAGAATAGGAGGGAAAATATCAAGAAAAAAATAAAATAAATTGGAATAGGAAAGGATGAGAGACAAAAAAAAAACAAAGAGAAAGAAGAGAAAATCAAGAGAGAAAAGAATAGGAGAAAATATCAAGAAGGGGGAGAAAATAAAAAAATTGGAAAAGGAAGAGAGAAGAGGAGACAAAAAACAGAGAGAGAGCAAAAGAGAAATCTGAAAAAACATCAAAAGGAGAGAGAAAATAGGAGGAAAAAATATCAAGAAGGGAGAAAGAAAAAAAATTGGAATAGGAAGAGGAGAGAGACAAAAAAGACAAAAAAAGAAATCAAGATGAGGGAGAGAAAAATCAAAATAAGAGAGAGAAACAGAGAGGAGAAAGATAATCAGAAAGGAGAGAAAATAAAATAAATTGGAATAAAGAGATAAAAAAAAGAGACAAAAAACAGAGAGAGAAAAGAGAAAAGAATGAGGAGGGACATCAAAATAAGAGAGAAAAGAATAGGAGGAAAGATATCAAAGGGGAGAAAAATAAAAAAATTGGAAAAAATCCCAGGAAGAGAGACAAAAAGACAGAGAGAGAGCAAAAGAAAATCTGAAGAGGAGGAGATCAAAATAAGAGAGAAACAGAGAGGAGGAAAGAAAAATTGGTTGAGAGAAGGAAGAGGATCAAAAATAAGAGAAAAAAAAGAGAGAGTCAAGAAGGGGAGAGAAAAATAAAAATAAATTGGAATAGGAAGAATGTTTAGAGATCAAAATAAGAGAGAGATCAAAAAAGAGAGGGTTTATTTCAAAAGGGAAAAAAAATAAAATAAATTGAATAGGAAGAGGAAGGATAAAAAAAAAGCAAAAGAGATAGGAGGAATTTGACAGTAAAATAAGAAGGGAAAAAAAATAAATATAAATTGGAAAGAGAGGGAAAGACAAAAAGACAGAGAATAGACATCAAAAGAAGACCCTAAAAAAATATATCAAGAAGGGAGAAAAAATAAAGAGATGAAGAAAGAAAAGACAGAGAGAGCAAAAGAGAACCCTGAGGAGGGAGGACATCAAAATAAGAGAGAACAAAATAGGAGGAAAGATATCAAAATTAAGAAAAAAAAAAAATAAATTGGAATAGGAAGAGGATGAAGATAACAGGAAGATGAGAGAGAGCAAACAAATCTGAAAGGACAGGGACATCAAAATAAGAGAGAGAAAATGGAAAGATATCAAGAGAGAGAAAATAAAAAAAATTGGAATAGGAAAGATGAGAGACAAAAGACAGAGAGAGCAAAAGAGAAGAGAGACAAAATCAAAAAATAAAGAGGAGGAGGAAAGATATCAAGAAAAAAGAAAAAAAAATAAATTGGAAAAGGAAGAGCAAAGAGAGACAAAATCTGTGGAGGCAAAAGGAATTGACATTTTTTTTAAGAGAGAGAATCAAAATGGGAGGAAAGATATCAAGGAGGAGAGAAAAATAAAAATCAAATTGGAATAGGATGAAGAGAGACAAAAGACAGAGAGAGCAAAAGAGAAATCTGATCAAACATAAATAAGAGAGAAACAAAATAGGAGGAAAAAATCAAGAAGGGAGAGAAAAATAAAATTGGAATAGGAAGAGGACAAAAGACAGAGACAAAAGAAAGAGAGAGAGCAAAAGAGAAATCTGAATGAGGCGGAGAGAAAATCAAAATAAGAGAGAGAAAAAGAATAGGAGGAAAAGATATCTGAAAGAAGGGGGACATCAAAAAATAAAATAAATTGGAATAGGAAGAGGATGAAGAGAGACAAAAAGAGGAGAGAGAGCAAAAAAAGAGAAATCTGAATGATGGGCGGACATCAAAATAAGAGAGAGAAACAGAATAGGAGGAAAGATATCAAGATGGGAGAGAAAAATAAAATAAATTGGAATAGGAAGAGGATGAAGAGAGACAAAAAGACAGAGAGAGCAAAAGAGAAATCTGAATGAGGCGGACATCAAAATAAGAGAGAGAAACAAAATAGGAGGAAAGATATCAAGACGGGAGAGAAAAATAAAATAAATTGGAATAGGAAGAGGATGAAGAGAGACAAAAAGACAGAGAGAGCAAAAGAGAAATCTGAATGAGGCGGACATCAAAATAAGAGAGAGAAACAGAATAGGAGGAAAGATATCAAGAAGGAGAGAAAAATAAAATAAATTGGAATAGGAAGAGGATGAAGAGAGACAAAAAAGACAGAGAGAGCAAAAAGAGAAATCTGAATGAGGCGGACATCAAAATAAGAGAGAGAAACAGAATAGGAGGAAAGATATCAAGAAAGGAGAGAAAAATAAAATAAATTGGAATAGGAAGAGGATGAAGAGAGACAAAAAAAGACAGAGAGAGCAAAAAGAAATCTGAATGAGGCGGACATCAAAATAAGAGAGAGAAACAAAATAGGAGGAAAAGATATCAAGATGGGAGAGAAAAATAAAATAAATTGGAATAGGAAGAGGATGAAGAGACAAAAAACAGAGAGAGCAAAAGAGAAATCTGAATGAGGCGGACATCAAAATAAGAGAGAGAAACAGAATAGGAGGAAAGATATCAAGAAGGGAGAGAAAAATAAAATAAATTGGAATAGGAAGAAGGATGAAGAGAGACAAAAAAGACAGAAAGAGCAAAAAAGAGAAATCTGAATGAGGCGGACATCAAAATAAGAGAGAGAAACAGAATAGGAGGAAAGATATCAAGATGGGAGAGAAAAATAAAATAAATTGGAATAGGAAGAGGATGAAAGAGAGAACAAAAGACAGAGAGAGCAAAAGAGAAATCTGAATGAGGCGGACATCAAAATAAGAGAGAGAAACAAAATAGGAGGAAAGACATCAAGATGGGAGAGAAAAATAAAATAAATTGGAATAGGAAGAGGATGAAGAGAGAAAAAAGACAGAGAGAGCAAAAGAGAAATCTGAATGAGGCGGACATCAAAATAAAGAGAGAAACAGAATAGGAGGAAAAGATATCAAGACGGGAGAGAAAAATAAAATAAATTGGAATAGGAAGAGGATGAAGAGAGACAAAAGACAGAGAGAGAGGAAAAGAGAAATCTGAATGAGGCGGACATCAAAATAAGAGAGAGAAACAAAATAGGAGGAAAGATATCAAGAAGGGAGAGAAAAATAAAATAAATTGGAATAGGAAGAGGATGAAGAGAGACAAAAAGACAGAGAGAGCAAAAGAGAAATCTGAATGAGGCGGACATCAAAATAAGAGAGAGAAACAGAATAGGAGGAAAGATATCAAGATGGGAGAAAAATAAAATAAATTGGAATAGGAAGAGGATGAAAGAGAGACAAAAAGACAGAGAGAGCAAAAGAGAAATCTGAATGAGGCGGACATCAAAATAAGAGAGAGAAACAGAATAGGAGGAAAGATATCAAGAAGGGAGAGAAAAATAAAATAAATTGGAATAGGAAGAGGATGAAGAGAGACAAAAAGACAGAGAGAGCAAAAGAGAAATCTGAATGAGGCGGACATCAAAATAAGAGAGAGAAACAGAATAGGAGGAAAGATATCAAGAAGGGAGAGAAAAATAAAATAAATTGGAATAGGAAGAGGATGAAGAGAGACAAAAAAAGACAGAGAGAGCAAAAAAGAAATCTGAATGAGGCGGACATCAAAATAAGAGAGAGAAGAAACAGAATAGGAGGAAAGATCAAAATCAAGAAGGAGAGAAAAAATAAAATAAATTGGAATAGGGAAGAGGATGAAAGAGACAAAAAAGAGAGAGAGAGCAAAAGCAAAAGAAATCTGAATGAGGCGGACATCAAAAAATCAAAAAGAGAGAGAAACAGAATAGGAGGAAAGATATCAAGATGGGAGAAAAATAAAATAAATTGGAATAGGAAGAGGATGAAGAGAGACAAAAAAAGACAGAGAGATATCAAAAAGAGAAATCTGAATGAGGCGGACATCAAAATCAAAAGAGAGAGAAACAGAATAGGAGGAAAGATATCAAGAAGGGGGAGAAAAATAAAATAGTGATGGACACTAGAATAAGAAAGAAAAATTTAAAGAGAAGTGTGGATACCAAAATGAAAAAATTAGGAAGAAAAGAGAGAAGCTTTTTTTGTTTCATTGGTTTGTTTTTTTTCATGGCTTATCAAACCTTTATAGTTTATTTAAAGCCAAAACATATTTTGGATCGTCAGAATACCATATATATTAAAGTATATCAGGAGTTTCTTTGGGGGTTGCATAATACACAGGCAGTTTTTTTGTAGAGGAAAAAAAAATCATGCATTTTTGGTGACTGGTGACACTATCTACAGGTAAATCTTTTCCTGGAGGGGGTTAAAATTCATGCCACAAAAATTCAGAGGTCACACTATACATTAAATCAGCTTATACACAAGTATATATAGTAGTTCTTCATTTTTCTTTTTGCAAGTGAATATTGAATTAACAATTTTTGGGAAAAAAAAAAATGATTTTTTTTTCAGATACCATTTAACCAATAGATGAGGGTAGAAGATGGATTCATATGTTTCCCAAAGTTATTTCCGTGTAAGTGAATGCAACAAAAAAGTGGAGGAGGAAAATGAAACCAAAATAAGCATAGAAGAAATCAGGAATGTCACCAAGATGAAAAATGAAGAAAAATCCTAGGAGTGGCAACATGAAGATCAGGGAGAAAGAAAAGAAACAGTGATGGTCATTTGGGCTCAACTGCTGCAACTTTCCAGCTAAATCAAATGTCAATATAAAGAATGATCTCAAGAAATGGTGACACACCTATAATATATATATATATATATATATATATATATATATATATATTATTAATAGAAATCTTATAAAGTATAAGAAACTATACTGCTCAAGAAAACCTTCAGTGTGTTGATTTGCAAATAAACAAGCAAATACCAAAGGGGAAAAAAAAGAAAAGGTATAAAAAAAAAAGAAAGAACCAAGAACATGTACATTAACCGAAAATAATCGTCCAGCATACGAGTTCAAGGCCCAAAGAAAAAAAACCTGATGCAAGTACCCAAAATAACTAAATAAAGTGCTCAATACAATGTGTAGAGAAGACCTAACTATATATATATATATCCTATATCCTACTTATTATAAAACCCAGGTTGTGTATGTGTGTGTGTGTCTGTACGTTTATATATTGGATCGGATTTCCTACATTTTTCAACCGATTTCAACAAAACTTCACAGGACTATGTAAAATTACCTTGCGGTGGTTCTGACAGTGCCAAAAATTGGAAAAGCACAATTGTTTTTCCATGAAATCAATTTGAAAAGACGATTAAGAGGCATTGCTTTCGCGGAATGAAAGAGGGACAACTCATATCGAGTTATACTTATTATAAAACCCAGGTTGTTTGTGTGTGTGTCTGTGTTCGTTTATATATGGGATCAGATTTCCTACATTTTTCAACCGATTTCAACAAAATTTCACTTTTGTTTTTGGCAGGTAGTGTTTTTATTGTCTTGCACACTTTTTTCTTTATTTTTACATTCAGAATGCTTTAAAAATTCTATTTACAAGACAATTGTTTATAATAAAATTCTATTCAATCGGTAGATTCATAACGATTGAAAACAATGTTTTTGTTTGAGTTTGGGTTTGACCAATAAAAGGAAAAAAAAAAAAAAATAGCAAAACAAGAAAAAAAACTAATTACGACATGCGTGTCCATCAACCTTAAACAATAATCTTTGTCAATTTTATTTTTCAGTCTTTATGATGGTCGATACTTGATCTATCTCTTACTGTTACATCCCTGGGCAATGCAAGGCTCTACTGCTAGTATATATATATATATATATATATATATATATATATATATATATATATATTATTTTTTAAAAAATTTTTTTTTAAAAAAAATATATGTTGTATTTAACCTTATATGGTCTGTTTTATTTTAAAAATATATATATATATATATATATATATATATATATATATATATATATATATATATTAAGAAATAGACTAAGTCCGACAATTATTTCAATATATATAGACACAAATATTTAAGTAAATGCTCTGTTTATAATAAAGAGTATTAACAACATTTACTGGCCTTAATGTCCAAGAAATTTCATAGAAAATATGCATCCTCTGACAGGAATCGAACCTGTCTCATACACATTTTTGTATATATATATATATGGAGAGAGAGAGAGTGAAGCATCTGGTTAGCAAAGTCCAAGTTATTGTTTTTAAAGAGCCAAAAATATTCAACAATCTTTCCCAAATGATTATATCTGCTCACAAAATGTACCTTAATGTAAATATTAATATATTACGAAATGGATTAAGTCCAACAATTATTTAATATGTTTTCTGTTTATACATTATTTTAATAGATACAATTAATACTGTTTATATTTTTTAAAAAAAGAGCAAATACTTAAATAAACTGTATCTATTAAAATAATGTATAAACATAAAATATATTGAATAACTGTCGGACTTAATCCACATTAAGGTATATTTCATGAACAGATATGATCATTCAGGAAAAATCATTGAAGATTTGTTGTTTAAAAACAGTAATTTGCACTTTGCTAATCGGACGTTTTTCTATAGTTGAGTGGTATAGCATGTCAGATCAATTGACAGCTCCGTATATAACGATTAAGGATGATCTGTGTTTTGGAAAGTAAGTGTACTTTGTTACTAACTTTATTCAAAACTCTTTGACAATTTCATTGGCACTTTAATTTATCCATGATTATCACCATTCAGTACACTGACAAGTATCCTTGTCAACATGGAAAACAGAATCCAGCTGAGACTGTTCATGTTTCCTTAGGAGAAATGCCCTTGGGGAAAGTATGGACCCACCCCTCCACATCTTACTGCTCAATATCTTCACAAGAAATATCCTGTCACAATTCTTGATGCAGAAGAAAGTGGGAGAGTGAGCAATTGCGAAAAAAAAAAAAAATGAATGCCCCAAAACTGTCTTTCTGTTCAAGTAGTAGCGACAGTAAAATCTGTTACATCTATTGTCAACCTTGACAAGGATCTCACCTCTCCACCCGTTGATTTAGTTACTGATGGTACAGACAATGCTATATTTTCTTAAATATTTTCATCTGAACTCATTTTAATGTCATGAATGACATCCAACTCATTCAGAAAACTATCATGCATCCTGGGTATGACGATAAACTACATCTGCATCTTGGGTAAGACGATAAAATACATCCAGCAGCAAGGCCTCTGATCAGGAAGTTTTGAGGAGTGTGGAACCACCTCTTAATTGCTTGTGTTCCAAGGTCCATCTTGACCTGGGGTTGTAGCACCCATTAGGGTCCCAGTTATGGGTAAATAGTTAACTCTCAGACTATATCTGCGTCCTGGGTATGATGATAAACTACATCCGCATCCTGGGTATGATGATAAAGTATGTCCAACAGCAAGCCCTCTGACAATGTTTTGAAAAAATAATGTTGCCAGCTATACGTTTTGGGAAAAATAGTATTACCAGCTATACGTTTTGGGAAAAATAGTATTACCAGCTATACGTTTTGGGAAAAATAGTATTACCAGCTATAGATTTTTGAGAAAAAATATTAACAGAAATATATTTTTGACAAAGCAGAAATATTACCAGGAAAAAAAAAATGTCGGCATTAAATGACCCACTGAAGTTGATATGCCGTAAAACAAAACAAACCAAAGCAAGAAAACTATCGTCTAAAGTGATTTATTAAGCAAAGTTTAGATGTGGCACAAGACCAGAAGTATGGAGCATCTAATGAGGATTGATTTTTTTTAGTGGCATAACAACCTCTATGCGTTATTTAATACTGATGTCTAAATATTTTGTACACAATTTTATACCTACAGATACTTGAACATAATTTATACTTTCAGGGTAAAGATATGTTTGTTAGGCATACAGGATTATTAAAAAAGAATGAACCAATTTCATTACACAATATTTTAATAAGGACAAGCAATAGGAAACTCCAGCCAAGTCACAAGTATTCAACTCACAATCAATTTTTATTTCCTGTCTTACAAGTGTTCAAGATGGTCACCAACTTCAGTATGGGCAACATCAATGCAATAAGAGAATTCCTCCCAGACATGTATTAGCATGTCATGAACCACTGAGTTGATCACTGTCGTTATTTGATGTTTAAAGTCATTAAGGTTAGTGTGTAGCAGTGGAACATAAATACGATCTTTTACGTATCCCCACAAAAAAAAAAAAAAAAATCACACATCGTCTGGGGATCTTACAGGCCAAGCACAAAAAGCAAGGTCTTGGTAAGTGTCTAAACAAGGCATAGTCTGTAAAGTTTCAAATACAGACATCTTCTTAGCACATGCCAGATAGTGGATTGAGAGATTACAAGCTCACAGCTAGCTTGATTTGATGACTTCCATGAACTTCCCTCAAACACTGCACGGATTCTCACCATTTGTTCCTCCGAAACTTATGGTCGTTCTGGATTTTTTCCTTTACACTCTCTTGAACTGTTTAAACCAGTGTTGAATGTTTTTAGGAGAAAGCAGATTAATGTCAAATTGCCTTCAAAAAGCATGCTGCACCATGACAACTGTATTTGTTTTCACAAACTCGAGAACACAGAACACCTTTTGTCAAGGACTCGCCATTCCAGGAGTAAACAAACAACTGAACATTACCAAGATATGATGCAACTACAGCACCCCTGTGGCAGCCTTTCAAAACTTAGAAAACATGTTTCAAATGATCAGTGATTCATTCCATGACAATGCTTGAGAACTGATACAATGTGTCATGAAATCGGTTCATTCTTTTTAAATAACCATGAATAGTAGATAAAATGTACTGTTGATTTTTAATTGGGTGTTCACCATTTGCTCATAGTTGAGACTAACAAGTGCTACTACCACCCCAGGTCAAGGTGGACCTGGGAGCAACAGAAGTTAAGAGGTGGTTCCATATTCCTCCAATCTCCCAATCAGAGGCCTTGCTGCCAGATGTAGTTTATCACCATATCAAGGACAGACCTAGTGAGGATAAAATTCAGTACTCATTAGCAATTGATATAGCAAGATAAGCTTGCTAACCATTAAATCACATCAAAATGCTCCTAAACTATCTTCTATATAAAACCATTTTCTTAGATCCATATTTATATATGGCTTCCAGCAAACGAATACTCCAAATCTCAAAGACAATCCTTCATCAGATTTTATAGACTAGCAGCACAGAATCACAAAAAACTTTGCCAAATAAAAAAAAACAATTTTTTGAAAACATCCAACAGCAGCAACAACTAAAATGGATAGCATGTGTAATTAAAAGAGAAAATAATGATGTAATCACACTATTTTTTAACAAAAGGTTGAAATGGAAACTCCCATCAATACAAGATGGCAATGAACTTTAGAAATGTAATTTCCTGAAAAACTTTGAAGATATAAATTTCAATCACTAGTAATGCTAACTGTTCATTTAATGAATGCTGAAAGTCTCTGCAAGAAAAGATTTAATTTCACTCTATGACATAACCTTCTTTGAGTTCAAGTGGTGCCTGAAGCCACCTATTTTCATTTCTTTTTTTTTATTCTCTTATTCTAACTTCAAGACTGATGGATAATATCAGACTATAAGTCTGTGACTAAAAACAAATATAAAAATATAAATAAAAATGCATGGAATGTTTTACAGCTGCTTTGAATAGGTATGGCCCAGTGGATAAAAGCGTCGGCTGAAGTAATCCAGTGACTTAACCCAAAGAGTTGTGAGTTCAATACCTGGCCACAGCAGAGATGAACAAAAAAAAAAAAAAAATATATCTTGAGAGTTTAGTTACTAAAGGAAATTAACTGAAACTGGGATATCCAAAAAAAGGCATGGCCTGTGGAACTAGAACAATCTACCCCAGTGGATGAAAGAAAGGTCAGTTCAGAATTTCAATGTATATCATCTGAAGAAAGCCAGAGCATACACCGTTGTGAATATGACAATAAAGATGAGGACAACAGTTCGAACAGCGTAAATAGTTACAATACCTCATCTCAGAAATATAATTTCAGCATTTGAAAATAAGGGCAGATTTTTTTATTTTTTACAGTAAGGTTCACCCTATGCAAGGCCCGGGAGCCACTCAAGGTAGAGGGTTAGAGAGTAAGTGGTACAGTTTATGTGGATAGGTGGGGTAGATAATGTTTAATCCTAGACTTGAACAGGTCAAGTGATCAGGAGCCTCTAGAGAGAGTTGCTTCCATAGAGCAGTGGTTTACAGGGAGGATCTTCTTCTCGAAGTGGCAGAGGAGGTGAAGGGGGTTTTTCCCCATCAAAGTAGATGCTGTGGTTGTTGTATCTGTTCTGTGCCAGTACCTTCCTTTGCTGGAATTAGAACTCATCTCTCATATTTCTTATTCCATGCCATTATCCATTACACCATCCACACATCTAAAGTTACAGAACCTGGTATTTCTAAGCAGTCACCCATCTAGGTATTGATCAGTGATAGTACGAGGAACAGCGTTTCAATGTGATTTGGCTGTAAGCCTAAATAAGGTGATAAATCTAATTTTTTTTTTTTTTAGAAAACAAATCAGGCCTGTTAATTTTGTTATAGCTTTTGTTAGAACAAGGACAAAAAGGGATGGTAAAGAGTCAAAGGTTATTTAGTGCAACAAGAAAGAGGAAGATATCAAGAGCCATCATCAACCAAATACTGAAAAGCTATGAGACATAAAAGCTGAGTATCAAAACTTAAAAAAACTGTCCTCTAGTTGGCTTTTCATTAAAAGTTTTATTTGAAAAATGAATTAAGATTGTACAAGACCAGCTTCTTTCTTTTGCTTTTCCAGCACGCCATTACTATTTAATCTCTTAATTCATCCTGTAGAAATATAAAAAAAAGGGTTATTTATAAACAGATTTGTATTTCTTACTCAAATCATTATAGTAACTGTGCACTCTGCTGGGAATCCGATTGCAGTAAGTGTGCGCTCTGCTTGGAAGCAGAATGTATTATATACACAGTAATTGGTGCAGTGTTTGCACACTCTGCCTAAGATCAGTGCAGTACCTGTGCACCTAGAAGTTAATTTTGATGTGCTGTATTAAGCAGCAAAACACTGGCCTTAGTACATATGCCATTCATCTGCTTACATCCAAATCGGGCATTTGAATTGATATAAAGTTTAGTTGATAATATATTCATTTTAGCAAGACAAAAGCTACAAAGCCAACAAAACGTCACACTGCACACTATTACATAGCATTTTATTAAGTGTGGCTTAGATGTGGCACAAGGCTGAAAGTATGCAGCACCTAATGACAATCAAACTCAATAGTCAGTCATAATTAATCTAGTGAGAAAAACTTACTAACCATTACAATACATCCAATTATGTATTATCATAATATGATAATTAAATCAATCTAAAAGATTATAATTAATGTTTTCAAAAGATATTTGTTTGTTATAATGTTTTAAAGTCTATGTAGTCCGAGGTATAATGATAAACTACATCCAGCTGCAAGCCCTCTGATTGGGAGATTGAAGGTTTTGAAGGGTGTGGAACCACCACTTAATGGCTGTTGTTCCCAAGTCTACCCTGACACAGGGTGGTAGCACCTGTTAGGGTCCCAGCAATGGGAAAAGAATTATACAAGGACTGTTGTTCTCATCTTTATTGTCATATTCACAATGTTTTAGCCATTGTACTTTGGTTGGAGTAATCCAGTGATTTGACCCAAAGAGTTGTGAGTTCAGTATCTGGTCACAGCAGAGATGAACAAAAAATTGGAGAGTTGAGTTACTAAAGGGGAATTAACTGAAACTGAGATATCCAGAAAAGGCATGGCATGCAGAACTAGAACAATCTACCCCGGTGGACTAAAAAGGTTTGTTTTGAAATTCCGATGTATATCACCTAAAGAAGACTGGAATGCTGTGAATATGAAGCTGAGGACAGTACAAATACTATAAATAGTTACAATACCTCGTCTCAGAAATACAGACAAATGTGCTGAAAAGTTCTTGTCCCAACCAAGAAGGAAATCCCTCACATATTCTACTTTGTCATTTGATCATATTTTGAAATGTAGATCCAACCAAGAAACTTTCAGCACCTCCTTGTACAACATAAAAGGAAATTCAATTCTGAAATTTTTTTTTTTTTAAATTTTCTGGAAAAAGATTATTTTTCAAAGTATTGTACTAATTTACATAACTACTGTATATGAATTATTTTTTAATCAATAACTCTTTCCAAATTAGTTGCATACTTTATTTCTATTCATATCTTTTCCAAAGGCATTAGTATCAAATGAATGCTAATTAATTTAAGTTTGAATTCTGTTCAATAATTCCATATTCTATGCTTCAGACCATTTGGCTATCAGTACCTCCAACAATAGCACAATTTTTGGTTAGAAATAAGTTTTATATATATATATATATATATATATATAGACACCTACAATAAGGATACTTCTCTTTTAGCTTATGTCAGATAAAAAGTATGTATCTTTTTTTTACTTTTGCATTTTAGACAGAAATAGCAGTTTCAGCATTAAATTACTCTCTGGTGACCTCAAAGGTCAGCACTATCAATCCCACATTCATTCTCTGTTCATGTTATGCTGATAGACTAATTTTCAATCTCCAAGATTCAGAAGTTTGACAGGCTTATAAGATACATACAAACAAATAATTGACAGTTTTATATAGTAACAGATATGTTAACTATAGGTTTGACAATGTAACTAAAGTTACACAATGTCTATTGCTATGGAGATTCTTAATGCTTTATGCAAATTTTCCTTAAGAGCTTTTAGTCTCCAGCAGAGAGGTTTCTTTACACTGACCGAGTATAAAATGGCTTCAAGAATCATGTCTCCATATTGAGAAAATTCTATTTCGTCACATCAAGCTTTAGCACAAAAGAAAAGAGGAATTAGTTTTGGTTCTCACAACATTTTTTTTCCTTTTCAATCTATGTACTCTTAAGCAAGTGTTAGAAGAAAGGGTTGAGGGTCAAGAGGTCTGAGATTTCTAAGTTAATCTTGCATTTCTTTAACTTATTAAACAAAGGAATCAAAACAAAATATAAAGCTGTTAGCCAATCAAAATCTATTCCATTTCATGAATAAAGTCTATAAAACCAACAATGTCATTTTGTTAATGTGAATAGTAAGAATTTGTTGTCCTTGTAGGTAGAAAGTTAAAAACTTTCAAAATAAATGAATTCAATGCATACATGGGTTTTTATATATTCATCTATAGAATGATATAATACAGAAAAGCAGAGAAAAAACTCCAGTGGTTCATTATATGACACATGGTAAGCCTGAGGATTTTCTTCTCACCGGGGAGGAAACAAGATACATCTTGTCACTATGGCATCCTGGCTGAAGAAGAAAAAAGACAGACAGTTCAAGTCCTCCTTTTTTGTACTGCTTTATACAATGCCACCAAGCATTAAAAGAAGTTTCCTGACAGACAGAGTCAAGGGGTAATTATACAAATAAAAAGATTTTTTATAGAAAATCATGCTTGCTATGTCCAAAATATTTTACCATACAATATAGAGTTATAAAACGCCCCACAACTGAAGAATATATGAAGAAATATATCCGACTAACACAAACAAACAATAAAAGTAAAATGAATCAGACAAATATTTCATAGACATAACAAGTTTTCTGTTTTGAAAGTTGGTCTTTTTTCTCAGGCTCTGAGGACTGAAACTTTGATGGCTTCAAAGATATTTAAATTGACATTATTTTTTTAAATATTTTCAAAAATACATTATCATTAAAAACTTATAACAGACTCAGAAGGAAAACAACAAAATCTTCAAGAGAAGGTAGTAAAGGAAAGCAAGAAAAAAAGGACTATTAACTAAAAAGCAATATATGGAAATCAGAAAGAGAGGTAACCAAAGATGTGGGTTTTGAACCGATTTAATGGATTTGTTTGTTTAATGGCATATCAACTCCTTATGGGTCTTTTTTTCAATTGAGTTCATCCCATACAAGGCAGTAAAACTACTGAGACAAGGGATTACTTGGTGTGGAAGAATTAAAAAACAGAAACATTGCTAAAGAGCAAGAACAGTAAAAGAGTAATCAGGAACACAGTAGATAACTGCAATGAAGCAGAAGGTGCTTATTTCACTTTGGTGGAGATAAGTCACGTGGTACACATGCCAGCTGCTTTGTGACATTACTCCATACAGTGACCAAAGTGGCAGTCATTTTTCAGTTTCAGGACAGCAACCACTTCCCTTTGAAACACAGATCAGTCCGGCCCGTTTAAATTTGGAGTCCTAAAAATGGCTTCTAATTCAGGAGTATCTCCAAATTATATGTAAGGCCGTTCGTTTTTTATCCCCTTTACACTTTGCTTTGCTGTATAAATATATATGATATATATTTCTCCATGTGAGACATGTGTATATAGTCTTGTATATGTCTTAGTGGTATAAAAGTCTTTCTTAGAACAAAGCATGTTTGTCATACATTTTCCTTTCAGCCACTCCATTCCATCCTGCCTGTGCATTATGATATTATTATATCATGGATATAATAATGCCTATAATGGAAGAAATGTAAATAGGAGAATAAATCCTTCTTCCTTTGCTCTCCTCTTGTTAAATGCAATGTCAATTGTTATGTAAGTTTTTGAAGATCAAATTAACTGAAAAGCATGGAGCCGAAAGAGAGTTCCACAAGTGAAAAGTTGGAGAAAAACTGATAGCATAGAAGTTATAGTTATATCTCGCCAATTCAACTGTAAATTGATGAGATCTCAACACCAGTTGAGTACTGCACTTAAATTCATAAAGTACAGATACCATAGGGAAGAGTGATATTTCTGCTTCATTACAGAAAATGTGGCACAAGGCCAGGAATGAGGAAAAAGACGGTCTTCTTCTTCTGTCTTAATATTAAACTTAGCTATCCATGAACACTGACCCAAACAATATTCCTAACACCAAAACAACACGTTCTTACTAAGCTTTCTTACTACATCCACCATAATACCTCATTGTCTCTATGAAAGTCCTAACTAGTCCCCATATGTACAATTCATTGGCTGTGGAGAGAGTGGAATAAAACAACAAATTAAAAACTAGCCCCAATGAGTATTTACAATATGAGGGGCTAGTTTATAGATTGCTGTTTTATTCCCCTCTCCATACCATAGCGAAGAGCTCATCTAAACAATTATCATGAAAGTATTTATAGAAAGGGCAGAGGGAAGCAACATTTTAGTGGTGGGAAAGCGACTGAAGCAGGGATGCCAAGTCAGGTCCGATAATATTGTTGTTCCTTCTTTGGATTTTATTTCTCCAAATATATAGCAGGAGCACCAGACCATACATGGCAGCAATATTCTAAACATAGACAAATGATAGACTTATAGATATGTAAGATAGATTCTAGAGAGAAAAATAGCAAAACACAAATGCTGAAATTTAATTTTCTTGGAGGGTTTAAAGTAATTCTTCTTTCATAATTAAATACATGGTAGATGATATGTGTGTATTTTATCTTGCAAAATTATATTGAAATTATATTTTGGAATACAGTTTGATTTCTTTAGGATATTATATAGATTAATGTCATGAAAGAATTTTTTCATGTTGGTTGATTTTGTTTAGCAGTATATCAACCTCTATAGGTTATTTAATGCTGAAATCTAAAGATTTTGAACAGGTTTGGGAGAGATGGCAAAAAGACAAAAGTTATCAGTAACCACAAAGGGCAAGTCATTATTAGTAACTAAAAAGGGCAAAGGAAGTCATTGAGAGTCACGATCACCAACAACCAGAAGGGACACAGTACATAGAAGAATTATTTTTCAATTGTAAGAATAATTCTTTTTTTGCAAGTGAATATTGCATTAACAATTTTTGTGAGATAATGATTTTTCCAGATGTAAGTCATACAATTTAACCCATAGCTAGGAGGAGGAGAAAGATTCATACATTTCCCAAGGCTATTTGCATGCAAGTGAATGCAATGAACCGAACTGGAATTCAAACTTGGCTAACTGATTTATCATCCTGCACTGTTATCCATCACACCACCTGCACATCCTCAAACATTGCTTCGAAATCAGATAGGAAGTTTTGGAGAGCCATAATCACCAATGTCTTAAAGCAACACAGCATATAAAAAGAAAATGTCCAACAGACAGCAGCAATAAACATTAAACACAAATTAACCTATTTGCAACTGTCTACTCAACAACCATTCCTTAACCCCCCCCAATCAAAGCCCGTCACAAAAGATCAATCTTCTGAAGTTATTACCTTTGATGTCAAATCTCTGTGGAAAACTCCTCGAGAGTGAAAATAACGCATTCCCATGGCAACGTCAAGAGCCATACTGATTCGGGTTTTCCAAGGCAGCTCAATGTCTTTGGCAAGGAGTTGATCAAGGGCTCCACCATTAATGTACTGAAAGAGAAGTGAGATAAGTCATGAGATTAATGGAATAACAAGGATTTGTGTGTGGTTAATGTGATTCAATTGTCTCTCATTGATATCTTAATTTACTATTATAAAAATATTTTCTCAGGTGTACATATCAAGTCTTATTAAAATGTATGCATAATTAACCTCTTTATAGATGCTTTGTTATTTGCAGAACAAATGCAGTGCAAGTTTTACTATCATTTATTGTATCCAGAACATTTGCTGTAAACATTTTTGCCGTAGGAAAACTCGCCTCAAGAATTTTCACAATAGGAAATTTCACCATATAGGATTTTTGCCATGAGACAATTTTGCCACATTTTTTTTCAATACCCTTATCTTGAACGTCCCTTTTGGAGTAATGTTCAATTTAATATTCAAAGTACCTTATTATCAAGTACTAGCAGTAGAGCCCAGCGGATGTAACAGTAAGAGATAGATCAAGTATCGACCATCATAAAGACTGAAAAATAAAATTGACAAAGATTATTGTTTAAGGTTGACGGACACGCATGTCTTAATTAGTTTTTTTTTTGTTTTGTTTTTTTGGTTTTTTTTATGAATTGGTCAAACTCAAACAAAAACATTGTTTTCAATCATTATGAGTCTCCCGATTAAATAGAATTTTATTATAAACAATTGTCTTGTAAATGGAATTTTTAAAACATTGTGAATGTAAAAATAAAGAAAAAAGTATGCAAGACAATAAGAAACACTACCTGCCAAAAAAAAAAAAGTGAAGTTTTGTTGAAATCGGTTGAAAAACGTAGGAACTCCGATCACATATATAAACGAATGAACACACACACACACAAAAACAACCTGGGTTTTATAATAAGTCTAACTCGATATAAGTTGTCCCCCTTTTATTCTCAAGATGCCTCTTAATCGTGTTTTCAAATTGATTTCATGCAAAAACAATTGTGTTTTTCCAATTTTTGGCGCTGTCAGAACCACCACAAGGTAATTTTACATAGTCCTGTTAAGTTTTGTTGAAATCGGTTGAAAAATGTAGGAATCCGATCCAATATATAAACGTACAGACACACACACAACCTGGGTTTTATAATAAGTATGATATATGGATGTCTTTCTTACAGGATCAAACATCAGAAAAGAAATTAAAAAGTAAACATTTATTTATAAAATAAAAGACTAAAAATATATCAAATTAACAAAGAAATAATATAAATAAGGTAGATTAGCTGGCTTACCTTTCCAAGAAGGCAACCATGTTAGCAAGTAAGTCATTTGACTTCTACAGAAAACAGTAGTTGCCCAACATTCACTTTAAATGTCATAATGCAAATTTTAATAGGTTTGAAACAAAAGTATAATAATGCTGAATTATTTATTATTAATCTATTAATCTATATAATCATTAGAGTAAATGTAAGTTTTAGGATA